CGTCACTCACTTTTCAATTTACACCACTGACATTAAAATGAGGCACTGAAACAAGAGGAATGAGTGAAAAAAGCCCAGTTTCAGGAATCACTTGCATTTCCTCAAAATCTTAAAAAGAACAAACTTGACCTGATTACTTCAGTTAAAAAGCAATGTTCACTCCTAAAGTAGGAACAGTAGAATAAAGTGTCTCTGACTATAAAACTGTTTAACACGGTGGTGGAACTGGACACGGTACCCGACCCATTACAGACCTTAAGGATCCGATGGAGTAGGGCTGGGCCAGCTGGATGACGATGGCTCCGGAGCCCAGCTGATGACACGTGTAGCCCGAGTCCCAGTCGTAGTTCTGAGTGTCGCCGTTCAGCAGAGCGTTTCTGCTGCGGCTCACTCCCTCGATCACACTGGCGCAGGCTGCGATGGTGGCAACGTTCTCTCTGGGAACTGGGAACAGTGGCAGCAGATCAGAGGCAGGATGTGACATTTGAGTCCAGTGATTTCACAGATTAACATTAAGGTCATAATGCATGAAAGGTATAAATATAAAGCAAGTTTTCAGCCATAAACTTACCCACAAGGCCGTTCTCCAGCGTAAATGGACGGTTGGTGAACATGCATTCAAAAGCTACGAGGTGAAACACCTTGTTGACCGTGTTGTGTGTTCCAACGATGCGAACATATCTGTAGTTTTAGAACACAGAATGAGCAACATTTGTTAATTTTCTAAGCTTGTTGAGAGGATGTAAACCACTTTAAGTTTCTAAAGATTTTAGTTTGAGTGGAATAAACAGCTGTCAACAAAAAATTAGACAACCGAAATTCCAAATTATGAAAATGTTCTTGTTTTGTTTTTTTATTTCTCTAAATATTTAACATTTTTACACATTTAATCTAAACTGTGAATCTGGATACATCTCATAATAAAATGAGCATCTTTTTCAATGTAGAAATATGAACACAATGAACAAAATCATGTTGAACAGAGATCTTTAACTCTGCATCACTTTGTAAAGTTTTCAAACAGAAAGAGAAAAGTCAAATGAAACGGATCTGAATGGTATTTTAACCTAAAGGTTTGAGTTGAGGTCTAACCACAGAGAGCAGGAACTGGACCAGGAGAAAATAAAAGTTTAATTTACCTGCAAACTCGTGGAGTGAAGTACAGATTCTGCCACGATCTGCAGAGGTACTTGGAGTGGTCGATGACCCGCACCCAGTCCAGCTCATCCATGGAAACCTCGATGTAGTACGAATACGACCTGAAACAATATCATATCCTACTGGTTAGATTTACTGGAGACTGGTTTAAATGCCTTTAGAACAAGGATATAATCAGCTAGATCAGTCATTGCCTTCAACTCAACAATGTTCTAGATAAACTACATCATGTGACATTTATAAAGCAACAGTTATCAGCCAGAGTTTAATTTCTGTTGGTGATGCAGGCCGTCTCACCGGCTGTCTCTGTCCCACAGCAGCAGTCGGATGTGGTTGATGATGGACGGCTGGCCCAGTTTGACCTGGATGCCGGAGCGACCGTCCTCCTCGATGGGGTGTCTGGAGAACCCGTGGTCCAGGTCGTAGTTCTGGGTGTCTCCGTCCAGCAAAGCAGACTTCAGCTCTCCTTTGACCACCTGCGCTCCGTGCTTCATGGTGGCGAGGTTCTCCTCTGGGACTGGGATCAGACACAGAGACCGTGATGTAGAAACGCTGAACCCGCTCTGCAGATCCGGACAGAGCAGAACTCACTGAGCATTCCCCGGTAGTTCAGGTCCATGTTGCGGCTTTCTGAGCGGCTCTTTATGGCGTCCAGCAGGTCGTCGGGGCTCACCAGGCCGGATGGCCGCACAACGTTCAGCATCTCAGTCAGAGTCATGAGCGGCAGCCGCACCGCTGACATCACTTCCTGTGTGTCCACCCCGTCCTCGTGCTGCTGGCACCACCGACACAGAGCCTGGAAGATCTCCTTCTCACTGGCAGCAAAAGAGTCCCGACGAACCACAGTCAGCAGCGCCATCTGGAGGAAGATGTTCACATAAAACAAGGGTAGGATTTAAAAAGCCAAAACTGAAAAGCTGAAAGAATTAATAGGATGGATCAATGATTGAAATAATCAACAATAAATTTAGGAATTGATTAAGGCCTTTTAATCAATTCAGTCAGAGTCCGAGCAGCAGAAAACCAAAGCTATACAAAAAATATACTAATTTGTATTTATCATCAATCAGTTTCTATGTGTCCTACCCAGAATTCCTCAGGTGGCAGTCTAAGCTTCACCTGGTTCAAATTCACTGAAAAAAAAATCTCTTATTAAAAACCTTTTTCATCTAGTTATTAATTGATTATTCTAGAAATATAAATAATCATTTTAACCCTAAACTGTACTGATGCAAAGTCAAAAAGCACTTTTTACATTAGTAATTTTTTAGTTATGTCCTTTGCCTCAAGTGATTTATGATTTATTTACATTTTTAAATGTATTTCAAATATTGCATGAAATGCTTGTAAGTGGTTAAATGAAGAATCTGCAGAATATGCCATTTTTTGACCTATTAATCAATTAATGATTTTTGGAATAATAAATTACTTAATCACCAGCTGCAACCCCATAACATTGCACTTAATATTACCTCAAACTGTACTTTTGTGTTTTTATAGGGCATGAATATAACTTAAAAATACAAGCAAATCATAGAGATAACCTGTCAAGTTAGAGCTTTTCCAATCAATACATAAAGAGCAATCAGAGCAGTTCATTAGAGATAAAATACAAACAAAAATGTTAAATATGTCTTGACAGCTTGTATGGATGTTTTCTCCAGAGTGCAGCAGGATGTAATGAGCTCCATCATGTTACCTTGGAGAGTGACAGAAAGCTGTCAGAGTTGAGAACCTCTGGAGCGTGTCTGTCCATGTACGCGCAGCAGGCCTCACTGAGCACGCTCAGACAGTACAGGCAGGCCACGTCGAACACCAGGCACACGTTGTTGATATGCAGGATGGTGCGCAGGAACTCGGAGGTGGAATCCTCCAGAGGCTGCAGGCCGTAGCGGTGAGCCAAACCCAGGAAGTCCAGCAGCACCTCTTCCCGGGCAGAACTGAGGCTGGCCCGGCCCGTGTACAGGTAGTTCAGCAGCATGGAGAACGCTTCAGCCCGGGTCTCCTCCAAACGAACCTCAGCCTGGGGCTGGGACTCCTTCATCCCACCATACAGCAAGGCCCTGAAGCAGGCACAGAGATCAGAGTGATTTGGACTTCAGATGGTTACAGAGTCAGAGGGAAATTAATTCTTAAAATCAGACGGAAGAACACTTAGAAGAGCAGCATGGTGTCATGTGATCGTCTATTCCTCAGTTTACTCTTCAGGAATAGACAATTACATTTGATAAACTGCAGCTATATTTACAACATTTACGTATGAAATCAAAACTGGAGCCACACTAGTTTTCTAAATGATCTAGCTGCGCACCAACTGCTGTGAAAAGTAAGTATTCATAATAGGAAAGTATCTCTCATGGTGGCAGCATGTTGGGACTTCATAAGGTACATTAATAAATTAGGTTGATTTCAATATTTTTTGACAATTATTCCCTAAAATTTTTCATGCTGTGTAGCTGGAAGGATTTTAGCTTTTGCTGTTTCTTTTACTTAAAACCTGTTGTGAAGCACAACCATCACAACAAAGTGTTATTTTAATAACTTCCATCTATCATGATGGATAATGGGGTCATATCCCTGACCCCAACGTCTCTCTGCCCGCCTTTCTAATCAAACAGCCAGACAGAGATTTAGAATTAAATTTTAAACAATTTAACTTAAACTGGTGGATAATGACAATACAGCAACAATGTGGTAAGAAGGGACAATAAACAACACTGATTATTTCAAAACAAATATATTTAGTTTTTATAAAACACTACTAGTTCATATATGGCTAAATATTTTAGAAGTTTAAATAAAGCCTATCGATTGCATTGATCCTTAGACCACAAAAAAACAGCAGGACCGATGAACCCGAACTTGCAGCGGTACCTGAAGTAGTGGCATCGAGCCGCCAAGATGACCCGGTGCGCCGGGAACCGCTTCCCCTCCACGACGAAGGTGACGTCGCTGTACTCCTCTCCCAGCACCAGCACTCCGAGCTGCTCCGACAGCAGGTGGATGTGGTCGATCTCCGACACGGAGGCCAGAGGCCGCAGAGGATGACTGTTGCTCATGGTCTAAGGTTTCCCCAGACACATCTAACGCACAGAGCAGACAAACCCAGTGACTGAAACCTGAAGCAGGCTGGACGCTTTCTGGAACCTCCCACCGTTAGCATGCTACATGCTAACACTGAACTCGGCGGCTCAGCAAGAAATATGTGACTAAACAACATATTTTTACCTGACACTGCATACATGTTAACAAACGTAAAGAATAAAAATAATAACGAGCAAGTTCATAGACTACACCGTTTGTAACTGCTAACAAACGGCTAACTGATCACCAGGATCGTTTATTAACGTCATTCTGCGTTTAAAACTTACCGAACTACTAACAACTACTTCCGGTTGAATTTTCAGCTGTTTTGATAAATAAAGACGGAGTTAATTGTTCGCGATTTGAAAGAAAAATAAAACCCAGCAACAAATTCAAGGTTCGGCCGACATCACAACACTGGAAATTGATACTGTTACCAGGGAGGATAACTTCCGGTTCCTGCCTCAGTTTGAACATAAACCGCAGCGCCACCTCCAGGTTTGGAGTCGGGTTTACACATTAAATGTGAAAAGGACAGGAGGTCTGATTGATTCATCTTTTCTAATCCCTTTTTAGTTGAATTAAAAATAAATTTTAAAATTAAACTGTTCTTTAGCGTCTATGAGAGCAGATTATATGTTGTATTAAAACTTTTCTTCATTGCATTTTATGGTTTATATATCTTTTATACATTCTCCAGTCATACATATTAGTCAACAAAATTTTGTTGCATTCTTTATTCTTATACAAATAAAATAAACATGAATAGCTTAATTTTACCTTGAATTTTATGGACAATAACAATATGTAATGTAAATCGCAAGGCATTAACACAAAGCCCTTCACATACAGTATAAACTTTATTCACATTTCACCAGCAGGTGGCATCACACAAACACGATGTGAGAAATGAGCTTTATTATCTGGAAACTTGTAATCATTCCATCAAAAAATGAAAGGACTTTTCAAAAACTTATAACAATCATCAGGATTGTTACAAGCATTATCAATACATGATTAAATAATTCCACATGAGGTCCTGTGCAAACTGTGGCTCTCAAAACGTCTCTTTCCAGTTGTCACACATCCACTTCTCTAAATTGGTGGTTTCTTTCAAGAAGTAAGACCACAAGAAAACAAAACTTGAGGGTTGGAGAGCTGTTCTCCTTTTTCGTCCAGTTTCAAAGTCTCCTGCTGAAGACTTTTACAGTTTCACATCTCAGTCACTCTGCTGGACGGAGTCATTTATGATACTAAAATACTAAAAATAGCACATCCATTTCTTCAGTCTCAGATAAATACTCAGATAAAAATGAGAAACTTAAATATCAAACGCTGAAATAAAATTTCTGATTTTCAGTTGGAAATTGGAATTTAAAATAAAAAAAACATACATTGCAAAGCTCGGTTAATAAGTTATAGTAATTAACCATAGCAAAGCTAAACAAGTGCAATATACATTACTTTCCTTCTTTTATGCAGTTATCTATAATGAGGCATTTCACTTTTTTTCAACTAATCACACCTGTAACAGTAAATCTAGCATTTGGCTCCTTCCTGGGACTCAAACTGCTTGTCTGGTTATTTGATGGAAGCGTAGAGGCTGCTGGGATCTACGGCGGGAGATTTCACCGTGCTGTATGTCACAGTTTCACCTTCATCATCATCTTTAGCCTGCAGAAACAGAAAACAAGCAGCAGCTCTGGTCAGACGTTTGCACACAATCATTTAAATATATCCAGATTTTGTGTTTACGTTTAGTTTAAGTTGCATCTTGCTGAGTATTTGATCACTTTTCTTGGCAGAAATGAAAGATTTTCTTAAAAAGTTGGTTGTTTTTCTGCTTCAGACTTAACTTTTAAGCTCAGTTCTTTACTTTCAGAAGAGTTTAACTTGGGAAGGCCTTTCCAGGAGTATTAAATTGGTCTGATTTAACTATCCCAATACCAATTCAGTGAATATTTTTGTTTGCAATGGAGATCTCAGAACCTGTAGATCACAATAGTCCAACAGACTTTCTCAAATTGTGTAAATCCACTTTTTCCTTCTCATATTTTCACTGGTTTACCAGGATTTTTCCTCATTCTGGGTAAAAGTCAATTTGACAAATGAAGCTTTTTACACTGTTTGAGGAACTACTAGTTTTGCTCAACCTGACAAGTTAAAAACAAGAATAGAGACAGGTTACCCTGCTGCTGCTGGACTTCTTGGTGTAGCTGATGGAGGCGTAGGAGACGCCATTTTCTGGGTCAACCTGCAGAGTGAGAACCGTTCAGACACAAGTGATGCATGCAGACACACAACTTCTTCAAACAGTGTGACTCATGTCTCAACCTAGCTCTCTTTTCACTTCTCGTTTCACATTTTCCTTTTTCTGTTGCACAGCAGCTCACGGAAACTTCAGCTTTATTTTTAAATACTTTTCTAAAATGAGCAGCATTTACATTTCAGGGATACTAGAGAGGCTGTTATTTACCTGCTGCTGAGTTTCAGATGCAGACTGAGTCAAAGTTACACCCTGTAGAAACAGTCAGATTAATCTGGGTCAGTTATTGCACATGTTGTTTGAGATATTTGGCTGCTGCTTTAATTCAGTCACACATTTGGATAAACAAAATAATAATCAGCTTCATATTTGTTTATCTGCTACAAACTTCCTATAATTGCCTCTTTCTTTACATTTTGTAAAGTAAAACACATTTACAACAAGAACATCCTTTAAACTCACGTCATTGGAAATTTGTTTAGCTTTGTGGCCTAAAAAATGAAAAAGATTTCAGATTAGCCCCTTAAGTTTCTCCAGAAGTTAAATTCTGGTTAACTGAATGTCTTGGACTTAAAAATATTCACCTCTTGCTCTCTTTAACACAATGAACAGAGTTGTTATCAAGGCCACCAGAAGCAGAGGTAGAGTGATATACAACCAGAGAAAACCTTGACAAGAAAAGTGAAATGTCAGTAAAGAAGCATTTAAAGAATCATTATGATGTTAACTTGTGATTAAAAGCAACACTGAATGTGAAAAAGAAAAACTTACTTTGTTCCACAGCTGGAGCAGATGTTGAAGTGTTTGTACTTGTCATTCTGTTGCCTGATGTTTCATCTGGTTTAGTTGTAGCTGGCGATGTGGTCGCTGTTTCGTCTTTCTCTGAAAATGGAGCATAAGTCAACAATTATTCTTAGAAAAACAGTTTTATGTGATTTAATATATATTAACAAGAGACTTTTAACTGTCATAATTTCTCACCTGATGGACGAGAGCTGAAGGTAAAAAACTGAACTTTATTTCCTGTCTTTACTTCACACTTTAACGTGTCAAACCTTGACTGGTAAAGGAAATGAGACGTCTGGAAGGTGACAGCAGCAGAGCAGGAAGACCATGATTCTGTTATTTCCTTGTTGTCTTTCTCTATATATTTACCCTGAATCAACCACTTCACTGAGTGTTTACATGTTTCATTTGTCTCCACAGAGCAGTTTAATGTCACCATGTTCTGGTTCTCATGTTTTGACACTAAAGAGGATTTGAAAGATAAAGCAGAGTAACTATGGTTACTTCAGTTTATGAAATCATTATGATTCTGCTGTCAGAAGATGAAAATATTGTATAATACTCACAGTGAATGAGAGAAAGACGAGCCACAGCATCTGGACCTGACTGACCTCCTCCTTGTTTAAGATACTGTCTGCAGATGTACTGACCAACATCATCAGCCGTGACTTTCTTCACAACCAGAGAACAGTTTGGAGAAACACTCAGTCTGTCTGATCTGCTATCCATAACCTGCCCATGACCAACTAACTGTACAGATGTTTCTCCTGGTTTACTGTAGATCCAGACTGTTGTGTCACAGTTACTGTGACCATCGATCACATTTTCACAGGACAAAGTGACGTCATCTCCAGCTCTGACGGTGTAGAAGAGAGACAGATCTCTGCTCTGAGCTCCTGATGACACAAAACCAGAAATATTCACATAAGAATCATAAATAAATAATAACTGCAGAGACTTTTTATATCTTCTACAACCAGATTATCAACATGAAGCTGAACTCAGGTTCTGCTTTATGAAACTACCAACATGATGCATCGATGAAACATTGATGTTAACGTTGAAATGAAGAGAATTTAATGAACAGAAGCTGTTCAGAGTCTCACCTGTAAACTGCAGGATGAAAAACAGAAACATTTTCCTCCACATCGGCTCCTCCATGGCTCCTCTCTGCTGCATCGTCTCTCTGCTTCCTGAACCTCTGAGAGCTTGAACTCTTAAGTCTCTATGTTTCTACTTCCTCTAATTATTTGGGTTTTAAGTTTGTCATGCAACCACCATGCTTCACACCACAGCTGCTGGTTTTCAGCAGAAATGTTTGGTCAGTTTCTGTCGTCTGCATTTTGAAACCATTATGAGCTGCTGTGTTTCAAACACTGACATGCTGCAAACTTACAACAAAATTAGATTATGAGACTCATGTAATGTAACAGGATCTTATAGTAGATTAATGACAAAAATAATTGATTTAGAAAACTTTGATCAAAATGTCTAAATTAAGATATTAATAATTATAGAAAGGTTTAAGAAAGGAGTCATGAAAAAGTGTTTTAATACTAAAATATACGTCACAGAATCATGCTGACAACCAAAGCAGCTGGCGCCCCCTTGTGTTCAATATGAGAAAGTGCTATATAATAAGGAGCATTTACATTTTAAACTTTCATGAAAAATATTTGGCAGATTGTAAAAAGTGTAATGCAAATAAATAAAACTGTTACATAAAGAGAGAAAACATCAATAAGTAAATACTGATAAAATATTAGTCTTCAAATTATTAATATAAAACCCATTGATTCTCATTTTGTAACATATTGTATTGAAGATTGAAGCTGATTCAGTTATTGATGGACAAGCAATCACTCCAGGGTGTCGGGTTAGGACAGTTAATGTATATGTTCAGGTGAGTTTGTGATTGATGTAAGAAGAGGATGTCCAACTCCAGGATTTATCTTCAAACGACTTTAATGAATTCTTGCTGTTCTCCATACATATAGTCACATGCAGTTGGGACTATGGATGGGTGCGTATGTGTATGTGTGGTTTCTACAAAGATAAACAAATACAAATTATAAGAACTTGCAGGTAAATGCACAATAAACCAAATGTCTGCAAAGTGTATAAACTTATTTATGTTTAAATATTACTATAAACTTCTTAATAGTTATGAGAATGTAAATAATAATCAAATCTGTTAATTATAGCATCACACAATAACATATACAAGAGAAATAAGGCATTTTGGCAGCAAATAGTGACAAGAGTAACAGCTGCATCTAATCAACCGAGCTTAATAGCGTAGTGCTAACGGCTAACTTTTAGCTCTCAACAAATTAAACAAACCGCAGCAAACGACAATAATATTAAACGTGACAGGATACGATACAGCTCTTAGACATTTATAACCTGAACTAAACCGACAACAGTATTACTTACATTCAATGGACGCACACGATAGAAAGGGACAACAGCGAAGCCTGCTTTTAGCCACACCACTTAATACACTCAGCTCTATAAACATGCAGCAAACACGAACGTGAAACCACCTAGTGGCTGAAACAAATACTACATTTAACATCCTGATAAAGAACAAAACCAGAGGGCTGAAAATAAATAATTAACTGTCTTTTGTACACATATGATGAAGTAGTGGAGCCATTTTTTGAAAACAGGAAGAGGAACACAAATGTGTGTAACAACTTATTGCATTTTATCTGAGTTTGTTGAGTGTCAAAATTAAAATAACATTTATGTTCATTTTCTCAATTTGCTGCTCTGCTACATTTTGAGTTGATGCAGAAAGTTGATAGGAAATATTCTGTTGTGAAAACTCAGGGTGGATTAATGCAGATAGGAAGAAGTTTTCTGCCCTCCTTCGGTTTATGATCATTAAAACAGGAAGTGTTTTCATGTGAACGTGGTTATAGAAGCAGCAAAGGTCTGAATGTGGAACAATGACTTCACTCTCTGTGGGTAACAGCAGCAGCATGCATTCATTTAGTGCATCTAAAGCACCAAACATTTTAACAAATTATCTGTAAATTAATGATGAGGAGTTCTGTTTAACTCCCAACAGGCTAAGATTTGATCTGATGTCACAACTAATGAAGAATCAATACTACAAATTAAAGACTCGTCCATCTTGAATCAGCTCATTTTATTAACAAAATGTAATTGCAGCTGCTTCACACATCAAGAAAAAATAATCCAAAAATAATCAAAGTTTGTTTTGAACCTCAGGAAAAGTTGCATTTGTCTTCATTTTTCAGCAGAAATATGCAAACAAAACACCAAGCAGATAAAAACAGAACATATCTGGTTAAGTGTGCATGGTAGTGGCAGCATCATGCGTCATTTTGAGAAATAAAAGCAAAGCAAATGTATCTAAAACAACCTTCACATAACATATTACATAATGCACCAAATGCTGACAATTCAAGAAAATTAAAAGGACAAATGTTTATAGTCAACATTCTGTGGGAATCTATAACGGATCTATAACGATCCCTCATGGAGCTGAAGGAAACGGTTCTGATCACTGGATAATAAATAAACTAACAGATAAACCTGCTGATGCTGAGCAAAACTCATAAGCCTGATGCAGAGCAATGATGTAAATCTGACACTAGGTGGCAGTAAATATGTTGTTGAACATAAATAATTCAGTGTTTTTCTTCTATCTCTTTCAGATAGCTGCAAAGCTAAAGCTAAAGGATCCTTGGAAACGCCCTCTTTAGGGCGTAGCTAAGATAAAAGCTAACAAAGAGAATGAAAAACTTTTATTTGATGGCATTTTGTTCTGATAAACCTTAAGGATGGCTTGAGAAGCAGACCAGCTGTATTTTGTCATTAATAAATGGATTTCATGAATTCAACTCACTGACTTTTATTCATCCTCAAAGATGAAGAAGTCAGGATGGAGACGGATATTTCTCCACACTATTCAGTTCCTGCTTTACTCATCAGGACGACAATCAATTCATGAAGCCCTGCAGCACAAACCAGGAAATAATTCATTTCTGAACAACCTATTAACAAAATTGATATTCTATCTGAAAAGTAACAATCTGCTCATTAAACTCTCCTTATTTTAAGATGTTATTTTAACATTTTATTCATTGACATATTTAAAATGAAGCAGTTTTTTTTATTGCAACAGATAACATTAAAACTGATAAACCTGCTGATGTTGAACTTCTGGATCTGCTGAGAAAAGCAGGAGGATCAAACTGAAGAAGTTCTGATGTTTTCATAGTTCAGAGCAGCTTCATCTTCATCACAACACACCTGAGAGGATCACAAACAATTTATTCCCACATTTAAAAGAAGAAAATATATATATTTAGAGTAATTGCCAACAGCCAACTTTACAGATTATCACTTAAACCAGAATTTATCTCTGAAATTATGGCTAAATCCAGCAGCAGGTGTTTTTATTCAGGTAGTTTCTAAAAACTGCAGATCTTCACATTGTTCTGGCAGATACATTTACTCAGATCATTTCCTTTACTCAGATATAAACTGAAAACAAATTATTCATATTTGTTTTAAAAACTCACAGTGTTTTCATCCAGATGTGTTTTCATCCCTGAAACAGAAGAACAAAGCTTCAGCTTTTCTAAACACTCTTCATGTTCATCCAGTTTTCACAGCGATCTGTTGATGCTCTGACCTTTGGTTCTGGTCCAGATGTTGATGATCACAACAGCTGCTATCAGAGCAGCTAAACCCAGAGAACCAGCGAGGAACCTCCACCAGCCTGCTGCAGGTTCTGTTCAGAGACAAACCACAGAAACTGGAACAACAACTTTGATTAGTGGAGCATCAGTTCATGTAAAAGCCACATGAATCAAACTCATTTTTTCCATATTTTCAGCAAATGTTGGTTTATTCGTACCTCCATCTATAAGAAATGTTGCTTCATCTGGTTTAGTTGTAGCTGGCGATGTGGTCGCTGTTTCATCTTTCTCTAAAAATGGAGCATAAGTCAACAATACTTCTTGGAAAAAACAGTTTTATGTGATTTAATATATATTAACAAGAGACTTTTAACTGTCATAATTTCTCACCTGATGGACGAGAGCTGAAGGTAAAAAGCTGAACTTTATTTCCTGTCTTTACTTCACACTTTAACGTGTCAAACCTTGACTGGTAAAGGAAATGAGACGTCTGGAAGGTGACAGCAGCAGAGCAGGAAGACGATGATTCTGTTATTTCTTTCTGATCTTTCTCTATATAGTTACCCTGAATCAACCACTTCACTGAGTGTTTACATGGTTCATTTGTCTCCACAGAGCAGTTTAATGTCACCATGTTCTGGTTCTCATGTTTTGACACTAAAGAGGATTTGAAAGATAAAGCAGAGTAACTATGGTTACTTCAGTTTATGAAATCATTATGATTCTGCTGTCAGAAGATGAAAATATTGTATAATACTCACAGTGAACGAGAGAAAGACGAGCCACAGCATCTGGACCTGACTGACCTCCTCCTTCTTTAGGAAACTGTCTGCAGATGTACTGACCAACATCATCAGCCGTGACTTTCTTCACAACCAGAGAACAGTTTGGAGAAACACTCAGTCTGTCTGATCTGCTAACCTTAACCTGCCCATGAGCAACTAACTCTACAGATGTTTCTCCTGGTTTACTGTAGGTCCATGTTGTTGTGTCACATTTACTGTGACCTTCGATCACATTTTCACAGGACAAAGTGACGTCATCTCCAGCTCTGACGGTGTAGAAGAGAGACAGATCTCTGCTCTGAGCTCCTGATGACACAAAACCAGAAATATTCACATAAGAATCATAAATAAATAATAACTGCAGAGACTTTTTATATCTTCTACAACCAGATTATCAACATGAAGCTGAACTCAGGTTCTGCTTTATGAAACTACCAACATGATGCATCGATGAAACATTGATGTTAATGTTGAAATGAAGAGAATTTAATGAACAGAAGCTGTTCAGAGTCTCACCTGTAAACTGCAGGATGAAAAACAGAAACATTTTCCTCCACATCGGCTCCTCCATGGCTCCTCTCTGCTGCATCGTCTCTCTGCTTCCTGAACCTCTGAGAGCTTGAACTCTTAAGCCTCTATGTTTCTACTTCCTCTAATTATTTGGGTTTTAACTTTGTCATGCAAGAAGGAAGAAGATGGCGGTCCTGTGACGTCCTGTGCTGTGCTCTCAGTGCAAGAACTCTTATTGCAATTTTCCTAAGTATAAGTACTTTTTAAATCTACTTTACTGTCGGGAAGATGCCTAAAACAGCCCAAAGAGAGCCAGTGACCACAACAAAATGGAAAAAACCTGCTCTGGCGATGCTGAAATGGAACACGACTATGTCGGTCCCGGTGTTATGCCGAGAAATGCATGCCTGCCGAGAATTGCATCCCCTGTCGCGGGAGCGCGCATCGCTCTAAACTCTCGCATATTGATGAGTAAACGGGCTGAAATCCGACCGAAGAGGAAACTTTTAAAGATAGATTATCACATTATCACGTTTATTAATCATGTAAGCGCTAAAATTGTGGGTTTTATTTCGCAAATTAATTGAAATAAACACTGATTTTTTTCACATTTATTGAGCCATATTTGTCGAACGTTCTTCAGTGTCTGATGAACAAGTTCTCCGCAGCTGCTTTGAAATTCCAAGATTTTTCTTTTAACACCATAATAGCTTAAAACTTTACAAAACCGAGGCCCAATCCCAATTACGTAGAACATTTATATTACGCTTAGCTGTCTAGTGTATTAATGTAGGGGAGATGCATTTTAATTTCTGAGCCTGCTAATATTTGCATCCCCTGTCTATTGTCCTGTTCATATGAAACTTATAGTGGTAACTCAGGGAACAAGTGTCATTATGTAGAAAAAATGTAATTTCCAAGTTAGCAGGGGATGCAATTTTTGGCAATATGGATTTTTAGCTTGCCAAAAATTGCATCCCCCCTGAGTTCATCAAATATGATCCAATTGAGGTGAAACTAATACCAGCAGTTCTTACAACTACTCTGGTCAAGTAGGACAAGTTATTTCACTCTTAACTCTTTATTTCTCAGAGTTAGCAGGGGGTGCAACCTTTGGCAATATGGATTTCTAGCTTGCCAAAATTTGCATCCCCCCTGTTTTCATGAAATATTTTCGAAATGATATTAAATTAATTCCAGTAGTTCATAGAACTACTCTGGTCATGTAGAAAAGGTTATTTCACTCTTAACTCGTTATTTATCCAAGTTAGCAGGGGATGCAATTTTTGGCAATATGGATTTTCAGCTTGCCAAAAATTGCATCCCCCCTGTTTTCATCAAATATTTTTGAAATGATATTAAACTAATACCTGTAGTTCAAAGAACTACTCTGGTCATGTAGAAAAACATATTTCACTCTTAACTCATTATTTTTCAGAGTTAGCAGGGGGTGCAATTTTTGGCAATATGGATTTTCAGCTTGCCAAAAATTGCATCCCCCCTGTTTTCATCAAATATTTTTGAAATGATATTAAACTAATACCTGTAGTTCAAAGAACTACTCTGGTCATGTAGAAAAACATATTTCACTCTTAACTCATTATTTTTCAGAGTTAGCAGGGGATGCAATTTTTGGCAATATGGATTTTCAGGTTGCCAAAAATTGCATCCCCCCTGTTTTCCTCAAATATGATCCAATTGAGATGAAACTCATACCAGCAGTTCTTAGAGCTACTCTGGTGATGTAGAAAAAGTTATTTCACTCTCAACTCTGTGTTTCTCCAAGTTAACAGGGGATGCATTTTCCGGCAATGTGGAATTTTCAGGTTGCCAAAAATTGCATCCCCTCTACTTTCATCAAATATGATCCAATTGAGATGAAACTCATACCAGCAGTTCTTAGAGCTACTCTGGTGATGTAGAAAAAGTTATTTCACTCTCAACTCTGTGTTTCTCCAAGTTAACAGGGGGATGCATTTTCCGGCAATGTGGAATTTTCAGGTTGCCAAAAATTGCATCCCCTCTACTTTCATCAAATGATCCAATTGAGATGAAACTCATACCAGCAGTTCTTAGAGCTACTCTGGTGATGTAGAAAAAGTTATTTCACTCTCAACTCTGTGTTTCTCCAAGTTAACAGGGGGATGCATTTTCCGGCAATGTGGAATTTTCAGGTTGCCAAAAATTGCATCCCCTCTACTTTCATCAAATATGATCCAATTGAGATGAAACTCATACCAGCAGTTCTTAGAGCTACTCTGGTGATGTAGAAAAAGTTATTTCACTCTCAACTCTGTGTTTCTCCAAGTTAACAGGGGGATGCATTTTCCGGCAATGTGGAATTTCAGGTTGCCAAAATCTGCATCCCCGCTATTGTCATCAAATATTATTGAATGCATCTGAGAATGTGCTCAAAATGAAAATTGTCAGAAAATGCATGTCCTGCAATTTGGAGAATTAGGATAGTAATGTGTTATATGAAATGTTCTAGACAATGACACGTATGCTCTGAGCTACTAGAGTGACTTTCAAATCTGTATGACACTTTTGAGCTGAAAAAAAGGGCATGCAAAATCGGCAGCTCATAATTTGCTATGCCAAAAAATGCATCCCCCCAAGCTTAAAAAAACAAACAGTTATGAGTGAAATAGCTTTTCTATATAATCACATTTGTTCCCTCAATTGCTGGTATGAGTTTCATATCAATAGGATAACATTTGAGGAAAAAGGAGAGGGAAAGCATATTTTGGCAGGTTGATAATAGGCTGTGCCATAAAACGCATCCCCCTGCTAACGTGTACAAATAAAAAATTAAGAGTGGAATAACATCTTCTGCATAAGAAGAATAGTTGTGTGAGCTTCTGCTATGAGTTCCATGTTATTAGCATAACATTTGAGAAAAATAGAGAGGACATGCAAATTTTGGCAGGAGCAAAATCCATATTGCCGGAAAATGCATCCCCCTGCTAACTTGGAGAAACACAGAGTTGAGAGTGAAATAACTTTTTCTACATCACCAGAGTAGCTCTAAGAACTGCTGGTATGAGTTTAATCTCAAATGGATCATATTTGATGAAAACAGGGGGGATGCAATTTTTGGCAAGCTGAAAATCCATATTGCCAAAAATTGCATCCCCTGCTAACTTGGATAAATAACGAGTTAAGAGTGAAATAACCTTTTCTACATGACCAGAGTAGTTCTATGAACTGGAATTAATTTAATATCATTTCGAAAATATTTCATGAAAACAGGGGGATGCAAATTTTGGCAAGCTGAAAATTCATATTGCCAAAAATTGCATCCCCTGCTAACTCTGAAAAATAAAGAGTTAAGAGTGAAATAACTTGTCCTACATGACCAGAGTAGTTGTAAGAACTGCTGGTATGAGTTTCACCTCAATTGGATCATATTTGATGAAAACAGGGGGGATGCAAATTTTGGCAAGCTAGAAATCCATATTGCCAAAAATTGCATCCCCTGCTAACTTGGAAATTACATTTTTTCTACATAATGACACTTGTTCCCTGAGTTACCACTATAAGTTTCATATGAACAGGACAATAGACAGGGGATGCAAATATTAGCAGGCTCAGAAATTAAAATGCATCTCCCCTACATTAATACACTAGACAGCTAAGCGTGATATAAAATGTTCTACGTAATTGGGATTGGGCCTCGGTTTTGTAAAGTTTTAAGCTATTATGGTGTTAAAAGAAAAATCTTGGAATTTCAAAGCAGCTGCGGAGAACTTGTTCATCAGACACTGAAGAACGTTTGACAAATATGGCTCAATAAACGTGAAAAAAAATCAGTGTTTATTTCAATTAATTTGCGAAATAAAACCCACAATTTTAGCGCTTACATGATTAATAAACGTTATAATGTTACCAATATTTTAAAAAGTTTCCTCTTCGGTCGGATTTCAGCCCGTTTACTCATCAATATGCGAGAGTTTAGAGCGATGCGCGCTCCCGCGACAGGGGATGCAATTCTCGGCAGGCATGCATTTCTCGGCATAACACCGGTCTTGTGCGAAATTCGGTTCCCCTGTGAAAATCTGTTCCTACTGCGTCGGGAGCGCGCATTACAGCCAGAGAGGCGAAAGAAAGTGGATCTGGTCATTTTCACGTCGCTTCTGATCTATTTCTCGGTAAAAACAACTTATATAATCACGTCAAGGTTGTAACATTCAGTTTAATTGGCAGCTGTTGTTTAAAAAATTGTAAAATAAATAAATAAACGAGGTCTTCTGACACTGTTTTGTGTTATTTTAAACGCCAAGAGAATCCAACTTTTCTCACTTAAGCCTGGCAGAAATAAAAGTCAGTCACCAAACACAGTTTTCCCATGGAAAGGTTTTTGAGAATTTGGAAACAGTTGTTCTTTATTCCCCAAGGTCATGGGGTAAGGAGAGGAAAGAATGGATGATTCAGCAGCCTGAAATAATCTGTTCCCCCTCCATAATATGGAGGGGGAACAACAATAGGTGTCACTGTTGGACCAATGAACAAAAGGAGAATTTTACCACTTAGTAGTTATTTACAGAAACGTTTGGTCATTGTTTGCAGTCTCCCTGCTGTGTTCAACACTAAACTATTGTTAAATCTTATTTAAAAATGGGCACTGTTCACTTTATCTACTTTAATCCTGTATCAGATTTGATCAACACTTTATGTATCAATTTTGAATTTGTAAATAAAATAAAGTGTCTTATTATAACAGCTATGGTATATTCATTAGTACGCTTGCATGTTATGTGTTTATTTAAAATGGGATGTCTCATATTTTTATGTTAATATACACCACAGTTGAATTGCAAAATTAATGATAAAAAAAATATTTCTGAAGGTAACCAAAGTGGGCAGCGCCCCCTTGTGTTCAACATGAATATTTTTGAAACATAAAAAACTGAGCAGTTTTACAGCAACTGCGAAAATACAGAAAAGAAATTGTAGAAAAGTGATCTTAGCCTATTCAGCGTATGTGAAAAGTCATTTGCTCAGTATAGTAAAGTATAACATATTCATCATTTTAAATGATTTGAGAACCAGACGTTCCTCATTCCAGCTTTGTAAGTTTTTTTCCTTCTGGGTTCAAATCCCAGTCTGGGATTTTTCTGCATGTTCTCACTGTTTATGTGTGGATTTTCTCCAGGTACTCCGACTTCCTCTCACAGTCCACAAACAGTCTGAGATGTTAATCGACTGTAATCTGCCTGTTCTGTGTGTTTTCATGTTGCCCTGTGATGGACTGGTGGGGGTCAGTCCAGGATGTGACCCGTGCAGTGAAAACAACCTAAACTAAAAGATAGAACAAACTCATCAAACTGTGGTTGATGTTGAACCAACTCCATATTATGGTCATCAATCTTTATTTACTGGTAAATGACAGGAAAAATCTGACAGAAGCAAATATTTATCTTACAAAGGTTAAAAAAATCACGAGCAGTGACAAAATGCACCTCATTCAAGATCCACCAAGGGGCGCCATCTGCACTGCTATTTACAATAACCTAATTAGCCTCCCAGTACTGCCCCAGTGTCCCCAGTAAAACTGTATCAGACTAAATACTGTTGACCACAACCAAGGAAGCAGTTTAGCATTGTAATGAAATGCTAATAGATGACCAAATTAACAAGCAATTAGTCATTACAATTAATAATACCTGTTATAAAATAGACATACCATCATCAAGTCAGTGATAAATGAATTATAAAAACAATGCAGTAACAGTAAATTATGATAAAGTTAATCATATGTATTAAAATCCTGTAAATAAATCTGTAAATGATGAGGAAGCAATAAGATAAATAGCATTTCTTATGATGGAGAAGAATAAAGAATTAATTATTAGAAATATTTGAAAGAAAGTTGAATGAAAAAGACAAACGTCTCAATTTGTGCTCAACATGAAAAGCAAGAAGAACAGAAATATCACAGAACGTCTCCTGAAAACGTCTTGAATAAAGAACAAGAATATTTACCAAAAGTCCAAATCAGCTCTCAGGCCTTTTGCCTTAAAATGATTCAAGTCTCTAATGACTTCAATATTTTCTCCTCAAATGTGTATTATGTAATCTGTTCCTGATAATAAATAGATGTAGAGGAATCCTCATCCTGTTTATCTTTAGGACTAAATCAACATGTGAACATTATCTTAATATCTTTAGCATGAACCTGCATTTCATAATTAAGCATCAAAAATACAATTTTGAGCAGTTTTGAAATTTGATAAAACTCATAAATGCAACCTGTTAGTGATATATATGTTATTTTATAGTCAAAGAAAATTATTCTTTCAGCTGCTGATGTTGAATTCCTGAATAAATCAAACCATTGACCTTTGACCTTTTGACACATTTAACACGTTTTATTCTTTGTGTTGATATTGCATAAGGATGAAGCTCAGGTTCAATCAGTTACAACATGGAGATAATCTCTAACCCTGCAGATTTACAATTTATAAATATCACTTATTTTATATATAAAAGGTGGGAAAACATAAAAACTGGAATCTTTTCCCAACACCGCCCTCTTCTGGAGGGTTAAAGTACTGTCAAAGTAAAAATTTAAATATGGGTTAAAGGTTTTATTAAACTCATTTAAATTCCATTTGGGATCATTTGGAATCTAAATTATTGACTTTTTTAAATTAACCGTAACTATCTCCAACAGTCAGGTCATGAAGCGTCTCAGTGTTTGGGTTTGTTGACGACAGCGTACAGTTTGCTGGGATCATCAGAGGATGAAGGTTTAGAAAGATTCACTTTGCTGTAGGTCACTGAGCCATCATCGTCATCATCATCTTCATCGTTTTTACCCCGGACCTGAGCGTTAACAGGAAAGTCATAAAACCAGTAATTAATGATCAAGTGAAATCAGTTTATTGCATTTGGTGAAACTCCTTTAAAAACAGGTTTTCATAATTTATCTGGATTTTTGGTCACGTAAAAAGTCAGAGTTCTTACTTTGGTGTTGCTGCTGGACTTCTTGGTGTAGCTGATGGAGGCGTAGGCGACGTCACCTTCAGGATCATTCTTGGCAGTGAGGTCAGCACCATCAGAGTGAGCTAATGTTAGAAATGATGATTCTACAGAAAACGGAGCGGCTGAGAGTTTAAACTCACCGAGTTGTGACTGGATCCTCCTGCAGCCTGAGATCCTGCAGAGACCAAAGTCTGTCCCTGAAATAATAAAACCACCAGAAACGACAAAACTAAAGGTCAGATTTGTTTACAAGCTCAACTCCTATCATCTACAGAGTTAAAGATGCTAAAATTTAGCTTTTAGTTAATGTAACATAAATGAATGTAATGGATGTTATTTAAGGTTTTCCACCATGATGGGAGATAAAGATGATTAAAACCTCAAGCAAAGGGAGAAAGAGAGATGTTGTCTAGTTTAAGTTAATACATATTGGTCCTTAGAAAGACTCTGAGAGGTAAAATTGAAGAAAAAACCCACAAACTGCTGACATTTGTTGTAATTTTCTTTCAAACTAAAAGCCCTCGGTTAATTTTCAAAATAAAAGTAAGACCAAAGTTTGGCTATTGAACTTACAGGGCTTTTGTTCATCCATGTCTTATTTTCTGAAAAGTAAAAAAAAAAACTATTTTGTTTGCAAAAGATAAATGAATTAATCTTGTTTCTAAATATTAATCTTTAAAATTCTCTCACCTTTAGTTTTTCTCCATCTGATTGCTGCAGCAACAATTGTTAGAAGCAGAAGTGAAGCAACAGCTGCAGCAATGATGATCCATTCCTTTTTCAAACCTGAAAACATTGAAGGTAAAGATTGAACATGAAACAAACTGACTTAAATTGTTGTGCTTGAGAAGACATGTGGACAGCCAAGTAAATCTTGAAATGACATTTAAAGACAAAGACAATCATTACCGTGATTTGATGGTTCGGCATTAATTGTTGATTTGGCTGACAGTAAATTGCCAGGTGTTGTTGTTTGTCCTGCGTTTCCTTCTGTCTTCACTAAAGTCAAAAACACAAATAGAAAAACACAACGTAAATGTTTTTATGTTAGTATCTGAAGCCTTCATTGAATCTTTAGCAAATTAAAATCTGGGGATTTTCATTGTGAATTAAAATACATAATTTTATCAGTGAATTAAAAACCCAAATGTCTTCACATCTTCAAATATCAGTGATGCTAAACCCCTAAAAAGCAACAAACTGAAGAAAATTTAAATCAATCAGAGTGAAAACATCTTATTATATTTAGGATATTAATAAAAATCATTACCTCCAGAGGATTTTGAATCATTGTGTGTTTTTTGTTTGGTTTTCTCTGACTTTGTGTTTCCAGGTTTTGTTGTTGGTTTAAATGTTCCTGCTGAAAACAGAAAAAAACAAAACAAAATACTTTATTTTTATCTTTAAACTCTTCCAAATTGAAAACACACAAAAATGAGACTCAAGATCTCAGAATCCCTGAAAACAAAATCATATTTATAGCTCCCCCTGCTGGAGACACCAGTAAATGTTAAGTGAAGGAATTCATCATCATCATCATCATCATCATCATCATCATCATCATCATCATCATCATCATCATCATCATCCATGTTTGATCAATAAGAACATAAATGACGTTTATATTATCAGTTTCTTTCTGATTATTAATCTATTTGTTTTTGTCACTAATGAAAAGTTACAATAGTTGAGTTTTGGTTTAACAGAAGAAATATGTTCACTGCAGAACTAACAGGGAATTATGGGGATTTTCTGTGTAAATTAAAATACATAATTTTTCAGTGAAAACACAAATGTCATCAAATCTTTATATAATATCAGTGATGCTAAACCTCCAAAACTGAAGAAAGTGAAAAACTGTAATATTATATTTAGGATATTGATAAAATTTGTTACCTTTAGAGGTTTTTGAATCATTACGTGTTTTTTGTTTGGTTGTCTCTGACTTTGTGTTTCCAGGTTTTGTTGTTGGTTTAAATGTTCCTGCTGAAAACAGAAAAAACAAAACAAAATACTTTATTTTTTTCTTTAAACTCTTCCAAATTGAAAACACACAAAAATCAGACTCAAGATCTCAGAATCCCTGAAAACAAAATCATATTTATAGCTCCCCTGCTGGAGACACCAGTAAATGTTAAGTGAAGGAATTCATCATCATCATCATCATCATCATCATCATCATCATCATCATCATCATCATCATCATCATCATCATCATTATCATCATCATCATCATCATCATTCATGTTTGATCAATAAGAACATAAATGATGTTTATGTTCTCTGTTTTTTTCTGATTATTAATCTATTTGTTTTTGTCACTAATGAAAAGTTACAATAGTTGAGTTTTGGTTTAACAGAAGAAATATGTTCACTGCAGAACTAACAGGGAATTATGGGGATTTTCTGTGTAAATTAAAATACATAATTTTATCAGTGAAAACACAAATGTCATCAAATCTTTATATAATATCAGTGATGCTAAACCTCCAAAACTGAAGAAAGTGAAAAACTGTAATATTATATTTAGGATATTAATAAAATCCGTTACCTTTAGAGGTTTTTGAATCATTATGTGTTTTTTGTTTGGTTGTCTCTGACTTTGTGTTTCCAGGTTTTGTTGTTGGTTTAAATGTTCCTGCTGAAAACAGAAAAAACAAAACAAAATACTTTATTTTTGTCTTTAAACTCTTCCAAATTGAAAACACACAAAAATCAGACTCAAGATCTCAGAATCCCTGAAAACAAAATCATATTTATAGCTCCCCCTGCTGGAGACACCAGTAAATGTTAAGTGAAGGAATTCATCATCATCATCATCATCATCATCATCATCATCATCATGTTTGATCAATAAGAACATAAATGATGTTTATGTTCTCTGTTTCTTTCTGATTATTAATCTATTTGTTTTTGTCACTAATGAAAAGTTACAATAGTTGAGTTTTGGTTTAACAGAAGAAATATGTTCACTGCAGAACTAACAGGGAATTATGGGGATTTTCTGTGTAAATTAAAATACATAATTTTATCAGTGAAAACACAAATGTCATCAAATCTTCATATAATATCAGTGATGCTAAACCTCCAAAACTGAAGAAAGTGAAAAAACTGTAATATTATATTTAGGATATTAATAAAATTCGTTACCTTTAGAGGTTTTTGAATCATTACGTGTTTTTTGTTTGGTTGTCTCTGACTTTGTGTTTCCAGGTTTTGTTGTTGGTTGAATTTTTCCTGCTGAAAACAGAAAAACTATTTAGATGAATCCACATCATGAACCAGTGAGAGTTTTATGATCTCATGAGTTTCTCATCTTCTCACCTGACGGCTGCAGACTGAACCTAAACTCTTCATCAGTTCCAGTTTGAGTCACTTTACACTGAGCAAACCTAAACCCTGATGATAAAGTGACAGTAGCAGAGCAGCCAGGACCTGATGATGATTCTTTGTTGTTCATATCCTGATAAAACCACTGGACTTTGTATCGACAGGGGTCAGAGGTCACCACAGAGCAGCTTAATGTCGCCCTCTGATTCTCCGTCTGTTCAGTCACTGATGAAGACAGAAATATTTAAACACCACCAGACCAATAATCATTGTCATTAATTACTGAAACAAAATGCTGTGATATGAACAGACATTAAAAATAATGAGCAAACATTAATACTCACAGTGAACAACAGACAGATATACAGTAGATCTATGAACCAGAGTGTCTTTGTCTCTTTCTGTGTCCCATTGCTGACATTCATACTGTCCAGCATCTTCCTCTCTGACCTTCTTTATAACCAGAGAACAGTCTGATGTCAGACTCAGTCTGTCTGCATTATAACTGTTAATCTGACCCAGTGTAACCAGTTCTACTGATGAACTGGTTTTTGAATGAGCAAAGATCCATGTTGTATTTCTGCACTTCCTCTGACCATCGATCAGTTTTGGACATGACAACATGACTTCATCTCCTTCTCTCTTTATAACAGATGTTTCATCTGCAGCGACTGAAGATAAAACAGGAGCATAAATATGAAATCACAGTGAATGAAGCAGATCTATGATCTGTAGCTCTATAGAAATGTTTAGTGTCTTCCTACCTGTGAGGTGCAGGATGATGAATAAAAAGCCTTGAATCCATGAGAGTTGAGCCATTGTGTGTCTGTTGCTCTCACAGTCAGAACTGACTGAACCCAGACGGAGCTTCAGCTTCCTGATACTCACCACTTCCTCTCTCTGACTGATGAGGCTCATCGCTTTATTTGGTCAATAAAGCATCTAGTTGGTTTCAGCTAAGCATTTATAAATAACTTATTACTTATTATTTCTCAGAAACTGGAGAATCCAGCAGATTGTATTGGTGGTGATGAAGATTCAATATTTACAGATTAAATATTCACCATATAAAAAGTTCAGCCTTTCAGATCAGATCCTTTAACTTTTTAAAACCTGCTGATGAGGAAGTGTTTGCTGCAGTGGACAGCAGCAGAGCTCTGAGGTTTTAATCCACAATATCTACATAAATACACGCGGTTAAAACATTTTATTCACTAATCAACGCAGTTTATTTGAAACCTGCAGCCACAGAGTGTTAGCATCAATAATAAAACATTTTAATCCAGCTTATTTCTGACCAGCAGCAGGCGAAGAGTCTAATCCCAGGACAGGAGAGTCGAACTCAGAGGGGATCCCACTGGGAAACTGGGAACTCCTCGTCTGTTTAAAGGGAAAATATTGATTAATAAACGTTCAGCGTGAACAGCATCATTTGCCCTCTGTCCCTTTAAGAGCAAAGGCTGAGATCAGTATGTTTTCCGACAGTGAGGTGTGAACCAGTTAAAGATGAACGTGTGAAAACTACAGTGAGATATGTGTGAATGATCAGGCCAGTTTCTCACTTCCCTGATGAGTTTAAGACGTGGAGCTGACCTCTGACCCTTTACTGGTTCATGGTTCCTCTGAACGATTTATTTTTGAGAAAAGAGGAAGTTTGCTGTGAGAATGTGTCTAAAGAGCTCTGAAGGTTTTAACACTTCACATGGAGCCATTTTGAAGAAGCTGCATTTAATAAAGAACTGAATGAAACCGCGTATTTGAACATGTCTGTTTATGACGGGGGGCCACAGCGGGTCCTGGAGGGCCCACATCCTGCATGTTTTAGTCTCTCCCTGCTGGTAATAACAACCTTTTCAGCAGGTCAATGTTCTTCTCAGGCCTCTAAGGAGCCATGATTGGATCCATGAACCAGGAAGAGACTAAAACATGCAGGACGCCGGCCCTCCAGAACCCACTTTGGGCCCCGCTGGTTTATGACATGATAAACCAGCGGGGCCCAAACTGGCCAACAGTGAAAGTTTTAACCCAAGAAAACAAAACAAATCCACCTGAAGCCGGCGTTACATTTAAGTTCTGGTCCTCAATCAGCGTGTCTCAGTCAAGTCAAGCAAATTATCAAGATTCTTAAACAATTATCAAGATGACTAAAACAAGGAAGAAAAATCAAGATGTGAATATGTTTAGATTGATGTTGCACAGATGCATTTTCTGTTTTGTTGGGGTCTATTAGAGACTCGGATCATTGAGCTGGAGAATCCAGCAGATCTGATTGGAGTCAGTGGTGAAAAGTCCAGTTTATAGATCCATCAGTTCCCATTTCCTTTTACTTTTTAAGACATGCTGGTTTCCAGTTTGATCTCTGAACTGTTTTTCTGTTAGATGATGAGGAAATGTTTAATTAGTTTAAAATGAAACGTGGAACTGGTGTAATGACTTTTATTTTATTCTATTTTAGCTCTTATTTAAACTTATAGATGCACAAAAATAAAAATTTCAGACTTTTTTGTTTACAAGATTGAAACATTTATTCAGAACCAAACACTGTGATTTATGAGAATAATATTTTTATACTATGGATTTTTACATGCATGTATTTACATTTATACAAATACAAAACAGAAATTAACATTTATAAACAAACATAAAAATGTGTGCAATACTTAAAAATGAACTAAATGTGGAAATCTTGTTTTAATTCCTTTATAACTATAGTCCTTTATTGTTTATGTCACAATAATCTCAACATGTGATATTATTATATTAAATGAAATTACACAGCAGTGACTGTTTTTCTGAGTTGATGTTGAGAAAAGTTTGATGGAAACAAAATCCTCACATGTTTTCATAGTTCACTGCACCGTCATCTTCTTTATGCTCTTTGTGACAAAAGAAACATAGAAATAAAAATATATCATTAATTTTAGAGACAAATAAATAAAAAACTGACTGTTAGCTGAAATCATAAAATGACTATTCAGCATTTTTCTCTAAATAGTTTAGTAAATTTAATATAAAACATCAGAGGAGTCTGAAAATACAGATGTTAAAATCTTGAAACATTTGTAATGAAACTTACATCACCAACTGGTGTTAGGAGTTAACAGAACAAACTTCTTTTCACTTCACATTAATAAATAATATGTTTCGGTTTTTTACCACTTACTTCTATTTATCAAAAATTAAATATTTTCATTTGCCAGATTATCAAACTGATGCATTTCTCTCCACTTTACCTTTAGTTCTTGTCCAGATGTTGACGCTCACAGCGGTTATTGAAAGAGCTGCTAAACCCACAGAGACAATGATGATACGCAACAGACCTGAAACAGAATAAAATATGATTTCTACGTTTTTATGTGTATAAATAAAGCAATCCTAACATCATAACAGGTTCCTGACTTTTCCCTTCCTTTACTGTTTCCAGGTTGATCAGTGACTCTCTGATAGTTTTCCTGTTTCAACAACTGGAGCCCAGAAAGGAGCCCAGATCGTCTCTCCAGGACCTGATGGATGGATTATTATCCTCGCACAGTTTTAGTTCTGAATAGAGCTAAATCTGTCTCATCATTCACTAACACAGAGTTTTAGCTCTATAGAGGAAACCATGAAATGTAAAAAAAATAATAATAATAATAAAAAAAGTCAAAGTAGCTAAAGAAAAAATACAATTAACCATTACAGAATAAATAAAATCAGAACTCAAAATGACAATTAAAATAATTTGATCATGTTTAGACAGAAAGAAAAGCATCACCTTGAATTGATGGTGAGTTTCTGTCGTCAGGTTCTGCTGTTGGTCTTGCGTTTCCTCCTGTCTCCACTGAAGACAAAAACACAAACAGAAAAACGCTTTGCAAATGTTTTCATGTTTGTATCTCATGCTGTCATCTAATCTTTATCAAAGGAAAGATTGAGGATTTCCAGTGTAAATTAAAATACATAATTTAATCGGTGAAATGTCTTCAAATCTTCATATAATAACAGTGATGCTAAACCTCCAAAACTGAAGAAAGTGAAAACTGTAATATTATATTCAGAATATTGATAAAATTTGTTACCTTTAGAGGTTTTTGAATCATTATGTGTTTTTTGTTTGGTTGTCTCTGACTTTGTGTTTCCAGGTTTTGTTGTTGGTTGAATTTTTCCTGCTGAAAACAGAAAAAAACAAAACAAAATACTTTATTTTTATCTTTAAACTCTTCCAAATTGAAAACACACAAAAATGAGACTCAAGATCTCAGAATCCCTGAAAACAAAATCATATTTATAGCTCCCCCTGCTGGAGACACCAGTAAATGTTAAGTGAAGGAACTCATCATCATCATCATCATCATCATCATCATCATCATCATCATCATCATCCATGTTTGATCAATAAGAACATAAATGATGTTTATGTTCTCTGTTTCTTTCTGATTATTAATCTATTTGTTTTTGTCACTAATGAAAAGTTACAATAGTTGAGTTTTGGTTTAACAGAAGAAATATGTTCACTGCAGAACTAACAGGGAATTATGGGGATTTTCTGTGTAAATTAAAATACATAATTTTATCAGTGAAAACACAAATGTCATCAAATCTTTATATAATATCAGTGATGCTAAACCTCCAAAAGTGAAGAAAGTGAAAAAACTGTAATATTATATTTAGGATATTAATAAAATTCGTTACCTTTAGAGGTTTTTGAATCATTATGTGTTTTTTGTTTGGTTTTCTCTGACATTGTGTTTCCAGGTTTTGTTGTTGGTTAAATTTTTCCTGCTGAAAACAGAAAAACTGTTTAGATGAATCCACATCATGAACCAGTGAGAGTTTCATGATCTCATGAGTTTCTCATCTTCTCACCTGACGGCTGCAGACTGAACCTAAACTCTTCATCAGTTCCAGTTTGAGTCACTTTACACTGAGCAAACCTAAACCTTGATGATAAAGTGACAGTAGCAGAGCAGCCAGGACCTGATGATGATTCTTTGTTGTTCATTTCCTGATAAAACCACTGGACTTTGTATCCACAGGGGTCAGAGGTCATCACAGAGCAGTTTAATGTCAGCCTCTGATTCTCCGTCTGTTCAGTCACTGATGAAGACAGAAATATTAAACACCACCAGACCAATAATCATTGTCATTAATTACTGAAACAAAATGCTGTGATATGAACAGACATTAAAAATAATGAGCAAACATTAATACTCACAGTGAACAACAGACAGATATACAGTAGATCTATGAACCGGAGTGTCTTTGTCTCTTTCTGTGTCCCATTGCTGACATTCATACTGTCCAGCATCTTCCTCTCTGACCTTCTTTATAACCAGAGAACAGTCTGATGTCAGACTCAGTCTGTCTGGTTTATAGCTTTTAATCTGACCCAGTGAAACCAGTTCTTCTACATGTCTCTTTCTTGAACCAACAAAGATCCATATTGTATTTCTGCACTTCCTCTGACCATCGATCAGTTTTGGACATGACAACATGACTTCATCTCCTTCTCTCTTTATAACAGATGTTTCATCTGCAGCGACTGAAGATAAAACAGGAGCATAAATATGAAATCACAGTGAATGAAGCAGATCTATGATCTGTAGCTCTATAGAAATGTTTAGTGTCTTCCTACCTGTGAGCTGCAGGATGATGAATAAAAAGCCTTGAATCCATGAGAGTTGAGCCATTGTGTGTCTGTTGCTCTCACAGTCAGAACTGACTGAACCCAGACGGAGCTTCAGCTTCCTGATACTCACCACTTCCTCTCTCTGACTGATGAGGCTCATCGCTTTATTTGGTCAATAGAGCATCTAGTTCATCTTAAGTCACAGTCATCTTATCAACATATCAGGATTAAAGAAATATAACTTTTTAAAATAACGTCTCATCTTTTTAAGAAGAAAATATCTGATCCTTTAACGTTCAGAGAGAAAAGCAGCAGGATGAGATCATCATGGTTTCTAACAGAGAGGAAGATGATGAAGGTGTCAAGATTTTAAATATAAATATATGAATTTTCTGTTCTTGTTTCTGACTTTTTAATATTTAAAGAGGATGTGGCTAAAGATCTCGGAAGGTTGAAATGATGCAGATGGTCAATGCGCTTATGAGAGAATGGAAACTATTTACATGGTTAAAGGAGCTGCACTTAAATTAGAGCTGCAAAAACTGTAAACTTACACAAAAAGTCTGCAAACACTTGACCTAATGCAAGACATTAAAATACGAACTGTGACTTGAGATGGAGGCAACTTTTTTAAAAATAAAAGTGACTTCTGTTCAGCATCTTTGAAGGCTTAAAAAGAAGATGGCAGATGTGTGAAGATTAGAAATATAGATAAATGCGAGTTCGTTTTTCTCAGACATGTCTCATTAATCAATCAATCAATCAAATTTTATTTGTATAGCACATTTCAGCAAGGCATTTCAAAGTGCTTTACATCATAAACACAAGAACACAAAGTCATGCATCATGGAATAAACAATACACTGTTACATATTACATTTCAAAAACAATTCTAAACAGGTGTGTTTTTAATTGCGATTTAAAAGAAGTCAGGGTTTCTGCTGTTTTACAGTTGTCTGGAAGTTTGTTCCAAAGTTTTGGTGCATAGATGCTGAAAGCTGCTTCTAATGCCGTCATTTAACTCAGTTTTTTTTTTAGACAATTGAAGACGTGTTTGGTGAGAACGTGTCTGGTTTTACCCCCTGCTATAATCAGATAAACTCTGATGACGGCCTCTGGTCTCCTGTTAGCTGAACACATGCAGTATTGTGAATAAAACGCCAGAAACATTTTAAAAAGTTAAGACTAATGAAATCTTGACTGAAAGTGTTTTAAAGTTGTTGAACCTGGAAAGATATGGACAACTTTAAACTGTTGCAACTCATCACCTTCTTCCTGTTGTAAATAAGCAACACTGATCATGTTTGTTCACACTGACGACCCGCCTCTGTCTGCATACTCACATAATGTTTTGACAGTAAGAAATTCCCAATTACAAGTGTAATGCAAAAAACTTTATTTTCAGATAGTGAGACAATTTATTGAAATGATCACAGGTTACATAGTTTAAACTAACATAATAAAAACCAACAGACAGGAAATGTTTAACTCGGTAATTGATAACGTTGCGATTGCAGCTTCTACAGTTAATGCTGATGATGCTTCATTCACTGTGTCACTAATATCACTGATATATGTGTGTTTATTCATGTTGCCTTAAGCTTCTGATCTTAGGATTTTGATATGAAAGGATTATAATGGTATCAATGCTTCCCCAGCACACTGGATGACGGTCAAGACTCCAGGTTGCAGGGCATAAACAAAGGAAACAAAAGGTAGGCTGCAGGGTCAACAGCAAAAGAGGAAAACATTAAATTCACTGCTTTCTAGTCTATCCTATCCAAAGCAGCTCCATTCCATAGCTGATAACCTATAAGCTATGGAAAACCTGCATGCTAAGGTTACAGATTTCATCCAAGAAGTGCTTCTGAAACTGTTGCATTGTGTTTATAGCAGAAACTTGGCATCAACTATCAGAACCAGACTCAGCGAGCAAGTTAGAGTCCTGCATGGGTCGCTGCCATGATGTCAACAGAGCAAAGCTGGGGAGTGATGCATCTTCATCAGAGATAGTTGGTGCAAAAAAGAGCAGACAGGTAATATTTCCCAGAGTTGGTATATTTAACTGTCAAATAGAGATCTATGTACATATTGTAAGAATTTAACCGTTACAGGGGCCACACACATGCCACCCAATGCCAGTGTTAGCTTAGCCACAGGTAAATTGTACGAAGCAATAAAAAAAACCATCAGAAAAAGATCCACCACTCATTCCTCTCTGCCTCTCTTTGCTCTCTGTTATTCAGCCAATCATTATTTTGGTTCAATAAATAAGTTATCCCATACATTGCTTCCTTTCAGTCAGGCTGTAATTACTTGGGGGTCATCCAGGGGTCAGATGAGTCATCTGCAGCTCATCGGCATCAACACTGAACCTGTTCAGAGGGTATTCAGCTTCAGGTTTCTGGAGCTGCACATGAATGCAAACATACAATGAAAACAACACCTTGAGGATTTTGAATATCACCCAAAAGTCACTTCTTCAACATGTTTTGGAGGCCAACTCCAGTGCTGCCCAAAGTGGGTCCTGGACGGCCTGCATCCTGCATGTTTTCGTTCTCTCCCTGGTTTAATGCACCTGATCCAATGATGTCTCCTTAGAAGACATAAGAAGAACATTGAGATGCTGCAGAGGTTGTTATTACCGACAGAGAGAGACTAAAACATGCAGGATGCCGGACCTTGACCTCTTTTGTTTGGCATGATCTTTTAAAGTGGACTTGAGCATTTACTCGTCAGGTTTTATGGAGAATCAATTAAAGAATTTTGGTAAAAAATGGTCCAAATGGGGAATCATGCTGAAGAACATGATTATCCTAATGCAAAAAATCTTATTATTTCCTCTTTTGAGACCAAAGTTGTGAGCTTTGATTGGCAAAATAAAAAATGAAATTGTCATGTTACCATCATGAGTTCGGTCTTATTTGCTGTTTTAGTTGATTGAGCTTATTAAACTGTAGATCTTGTTGGGATCATCAGAGGCTGCAGCAGAGGAGGAACAGGCTTCCACGGTGCTGCAGCTCACTGCATCATGTTTAACAAACTGGAAACAGAAACACAATGCTACAGTTTTAAAAAAGGCAGGTTTACATCATGCAAACTTAATGGTCCAAATGTATTCATCCATATGTCTGAATCCTAACAGAGCTAGGATAAAACCCTGAACCTGTTTGCTGGATAAGCAAACAGGTTCAGGGTTTCATCACAATCATTCTTTCTATAGGAACACTTTCTAGGGTCATGTTTTAACCCTAATCCGATTTTACCTGATTAGATAGAATTGAAATTAACATAAAAAAAGAATGCACCCAGAAAACAATTATTTCATCGAATAAAACATTTCCTGAACTGGAAATGTGTTTCAAGATAAACATTTCAAGACTCCAATATTATTTAATTCTGTGTAAAGTATCTGAAACAATTATTAGAAGATCAAAATATAGATTTTAATTTTTCCACAAAAAGACCTGTCAAAATCAGTCAAACAAATATCCTACCTGAGCATTTCCTTTAGTTTCCTCTGCGTTTCTGATGGTGGAGTAATAAACGTCATCTTCAAGTTCAACCTGCGAAGAAGAAAGAAACAAATGAGTTTTTCTGAGATTATTTACCTTTGAGTAAACAAACACCACTGTGTTTAATTCTGCTCCTAAAATACTCATATTTGTGGAGTCAAGTTGTGAAATATTACTTTACAACATTTCAACAGTCACTTTCTTTCTTATAATCAATTTATGTTTAAGCTTTGAGGCTCCAAAGTTTCAGGAACAATGAGTGTGATCACTTTGCTCTGAGCTCAGACTCAGCTGTCGGTGAATGTTAATTAAAATCTTGAGAACAAAACGTATCAAACGGATGTAAACTTACATCTTTTTCACCAGGCTTTGTTTTCTTTCCTGAAAAGGTCAGTGAGTCAGATATATGCTAATCCAGAAAGGTGAGAGATATATACCTGTAGTCAGTTTTCTCACCTGTAGCTCTCCATATAATGATCACCACAGCAGTTATCAGGACAATGAGTGAAACCACAGCTACAGAAATCACTGCAGCAAAAGACACAATTCTGCATATGAATTTACTGCAAGTCGTAATAAATTATGTCTTCATCAGTTATATATCCTGAATGTATCATAATGATTACATTTTTATTCTACATCCTTGGGAAAATAATAATAATAAAAAAAAGGTGAGTTCTGAATTTGCAAATATAAACATAGAGCTAACAGAGCTGTTAATTACTGGAGGGTGATGAGCATCTTTGCCTGTTGTGTTTAAAATTCCTTATGTATTGTTTAAAGAAAAAAATATTTAAGGAAAAGTCAACAGTCATTCAAACTTTTGATAATCTAATTTAATAAAAACGCATAATTACCTGGACTGATTGAAGCGTTTTCTGGTTTCTTCTGGGTTGTGTTTGAAGTTGGTGGAAAGCTGCTTGCATGTTCGACTTCATTTGTTGTTGGATTCACAATGAGAAAAAAAAACAAAAATCACACACTTATGACAGATATTGTTAAATTTTATGCTAGCAGTTCCACGTTTTACATAGATCAAACTGGTTTAAGGTGATTATTTTAACAAAAGTTTAAGCAAAATCTTCAAATAATATTTCAACACAGAGGATTAAATCCATTCCTTTAACTGGAGGTAAAAGGATTTTTTCAGATGTGACTTGCACTGGACTTTTGGGTTTTAATTTTTGTAACAAAGTTAATCAATAGGTTCCATGTGTTGTATTTAATCTCATATATTTTTTACAATCTCTTTAATTCCCAGATCAGACACCACAAAAATATGCATATCTTCAACTAAAGATATGCAAACTGATTCAAATGCATATTTATTTATTAACATTGTGTTTTAGAAATTAATAATTCTCTTGTTCCAGAGGCGGATGGAAGTTTGTCTGAGATTTTTTGATTCCAGGTTTTCTTGTGGCTTGAAAAAGTTCTCTTGATTTTTTAGTAAGCAGAAAACAAAACTCACATGCAATTACTTTTTTAATCTAAATACATCAAAACATTAAAAGGAAACATTTTGTGGTTAAATTTATAAACTAATACATCAGTAATTAGTTCAGAAGACTCCACATCATGAACCAGTGAGAGTTTCATAATCTCATGAGTTTCTCATCTTCTCACCTGACGGCTGCAGACTGAAGCTCAACTCTTCATCAGTTCCAGTTTGAGTCACTTTACACTGAGCAAACCTAAACCCTGATGATAAAGTGACAGTAGCAGAGCAGCCACGACCTGATGATGATTCTTTGTTGTTCATTTCCTGATAAAACCACTGGACTTTGTATCCACAGGGGTTAAAGGTCACCACAGAGCAGCTTAATGTCGCCCTCTGATTCTCCGTCTGTTCAGTCACTGATGAAGACAGAAATATTAAAACACGATGTTGGAAAATTACCTTCATTATAGTAATGCTAGACATTAATTATTGAATCAAATATTTCAATCACAAACATTAATACTCACAGTGAACAACAGACAGATTTACAGTAGACTGACGAAACGCAGAGCCCCATTGTTGGCAATGATATTGTCCAGCATCTTCCTCTCTGACCTTCTTTATAACCAGAGAACAGTCTGATGTCAGACTCAGTCTGTCTGGTTTATAGTTGTTAATCTGACCCAGTAAAACCAGTTCTACTGATGAACTGGTTTTTGAATGAGCAAAGCTCCATGTTGTATTTCTGCACTTCCTCTGACCATCGATCAGTTTTGGACATGACAACATGACTTCATCTCCTTCTCTCTTTATAACAGATGTTTCATCTGCAGTGACTGAAGATAAAACAGGAGCATAAATATGAAATCACAGTGAATGAAGCAGATCTATGATCTGTAGCTCTATAGAAATGTTTAGTGTCTTCCTACCTGTGAGCTGCAGGATGATGAATAAAAAGCCTTGAATCCATGAGAGTTGAGCCATTGTGTGTCTGTTGCTCTCACAGTCAGAACTGACTGAACCGAGACGGAGCTTCAGCTTCCTGATACTCACCACTTCCTCTGACTGGTGGGTGGTCTGGTTCACTGGTTAAATTAGTTACATTAACTGACTATTGAGGACAAAATGATCATTTGCTTCAGAATCTTTGTTAAAATAGGTCATGTGGTTTGACCACAACAAAACAAGTTGATATTCAATGTTCCTCTTTATGCGTTCAGTTCTATTATTTAAATGTTTGACGTCTCCAGAAGAAGAAAAGGAAACATGTGAAGATCAATGTATTATTAGAAATGCAATTCTTTTGTTTTGATAGTATTTAGAAACCTAATGAGTACAGACACTCGTTATTAAGAGCTGCAGATCAACATCGTAATTTTAGTGATGAGAAAGTTTGATGAGAAAATGTTGAACTTCAGCAGAGCTCTGGGGCTGTTAACCCCCGATGGTCAGGCTTAAAGAAGCATGCGACTCAATTTTTGTGTTTTTTTTAATGCTCATTCTACATTGACATTCCAGACATAATATATGAAGAAGCAGATGACCTGCATGCTCCAGGACATTCTTTGCAAAAAGATCATCCTAACTGTATGATTGACTATCTGTTCAAAGTAGCCAAGTTGCATCATGAAAAGCTTTTGGAATGAGAGTTACAACCTCAGATTGTGAATACTTAAACATGTCTGTGTGAATATGTGTGAGGGTTGAAGTGTGTTTCTAGAGTACGTGTGTGTGTGTGTGTGTGTGTGTGTGTGTGTGTGGGGGGGGGGTGTGTGTGTGTGTGTGTGTGTGTGTGTGTGTGTGTGTGTGTGTGTGTGTGTGTGGTGTGTGTGTGTGTGTGTGTGTGTGCACAGTGGAGGCATGTGCTAGTTAAATGTGAAAGTTACATGTGAATTGTATAAACCTCTCACCATGAAGAAGAGCAGTGGGGAGAGTTGAACAGGAAATGTTTGATGAGCATCAGGATCAGTTGAGCTCTGGAGGTTTTAACCACAAAGACCAAATCATGTGTGGTTTGGTTTGTTCTTTGTCAGGTGTGGTTAACAACCACATCAACAGAAGTTATTTCAAAGCTGCAGCTGTAACACATATGCAGACAAATGTCCATTAATTGTTGTAGTTTATAGACTTATAATCACACCAGGCTGAAAAACTGATATCATTCTTAATTCCCCAAGGTGAACCAACAAGATTCATTGATTCTCGTTGGATGTTTGATGGCATCAGAGTGAGGAAAAGGTTTTCAGGTCAATAACTGGTTTGTCTCTGAAATGTTCCAGCTCTTTCTGCAGGATCCTCTGACGTTTCCCAGCCACAACAGAGATGTTCACTGTGATATTTTCTGTTTGGCAGAAAATGGCCAAAGAAAGGTGGCCATCTTGTCATTTTTGTTCCTTCCCCTGATCTTGCTTGAACTGCCTCAGAGAAGATCTTCTGCCCTCTGGTGGACGATATGCTGTTATTAAGCAGTGCTGCGTTTCAAAATGTTTCAACTGTTCACTTTTCGGATCATGGCACAGTGAAGTCGGCCCAGACATTGATAACCCAACAACAACGATCAGGTTCTGGAGCTGCCTCATGTCTTACAGCTGTGAGGTTTTCAGTGTTTGGTTTTTGATCCAAACCAACAATAAAACATTGAATATTTCACCATCATTTGGTCCGATAGTTATAGTTTATAGAGAGTAGAGGCTGTTGGGGTCAATAGAGACTGTTGGGGTCAGTAGAGGTTGTTGGGGTCAGTAGAGGCTGTTGGGGTCAATAGAGACTGTTGGGGTCAGTAGAGGCTGTTGGGGTCGGTAGAGGCTGTTGGGGTCAGTAGAGACTGTTGGGGTCAGTAGAGGTTGTTGGGGTCAGTAGAGGCTGTTGGGATCAGTAGAGGCTGTTGGGGTCAATAGAGGCTGTTGGGGTCAGTAGAGGTTGTTGGGGTCAATAGAGACTGTTGGGGTCAGTAGAGACTGTTGGGGTCAGTAGAGGCTGTTGGGGTCAGTAGAGACTGTTGGGGTCAGTAGAGACTGTTGGGGTCAGTAGAGGCTGTTGGGGTCGGTAGAGACTGTTGGGGTCAGTAGAGACTGTTGGGGTCAATAGAGGCTGTTGGGGTCGGTAGAGGTTGTTGGGGTCAATAGAGACTGTTGGGGTCAGTAGAGACTGTTGGGGTCAGTAGAGGCTGTTGGGGTCAGTAGAGGCTGTTGGGGTCAATAGAGACTGTTGGGGTCAGTAGAGACTGTTGGGGTCAGTAGAGACTGTTGGGGTCAGTAGAGGCTGTTGGGGTCGGTAGAGACTGTTGGGGTCAGTAGAGACTGTTGGGGTCAATAGAGGCTGTTGGGGTCAGTAGAGGTTGTTGGGGTCAATAGAGACTGTTGGGGTCAGTAGAGGCTGTTGGGGTCAATAGAGACTGTTGGGGTCAGTAGAGACTGTTGGGGTCAGTAGAGACTGTTGGGGTCAGTAGAGGCTGTTGGGGTCAATAGAGACTGTTGGGGTCAGTATAGACTGTTGGGGTCAGTAGAGGCTGTTGGGGTCAATAGAGGCTGTTGGGGTCGGTAGAGGTTGTTGGGGTCAATAGAGACTGTTGGGGTCAGTAGAGACTGTTGGGGTCAGTAGAGACTGTTGGGGTCAGTAGAGGTTGTTGGGGTCAGTAGAGGTTGTTGGGGTCAGTAGAGGCTGTTGGGGTCAGTAGAGGCTGTTGGGGTCAGTAGAGGTTGTCCGGGTCAGTAGAGGCTGTTGGGGTCAGTAGAGGCTGTTGGGGTCAGTAGAGGTTGTTGGGGTCAGTAGAGGCTGTTGGGGTCAGTAGAGGCTGTTGGGGTCGGTAGAGGCTGTTGGGGTCAGTAGAGGTTGTCCGGGTCAGTAGAGGCTGTTGGGGTCAGTAGAGGCTGTTGGGGTCAGTAGAGGCTGTTGGGGTCAGTAGAGGTTGTTGGGGTCAGTAGAGGCTGTTGGGGTCAGTAGAGGTTGTTGGGGTCAATAGAGACTGTTGGGGTCAGTAGAGGCTGTTGGGGTCAGTAGAGGCTGTTGGGGTCAGTAGAGGTTGTTGGGGTCAGTAGAGACTGTTGGGGTCAGTAGAGGTTGTTGGGGTCAGTAGAGGTTGTTGGGGTCAGTAGAGGCTGTTGGGGTCAGTAGAGGCTGTTGGGGTCAGTAGAGGTTGTTGGGGTCAATAGAGACTGTTGGGGTCAATAGAGGCTGTTGGGGTCAGTAGAGGCTGTTGGGGTCAGTAGAGGTTGTTGGGGTCAATAGAGACTGTTGGGGTCAATAGAGGCTGTTGGGGTCAGTAGAGGTTGTTGGGGTCAGTAGAGGTTGTTGGGGTCAGTAGAGGCTGTTGGGGTCAGTAGAGGCTGTTGGGGTCAGTAGAGGTTGTTGGGGTCAGTAGAGGTTGTTGGGGTCAGTAGAGGCTGTTGGGATCAGTAGAGGTTGTTGGGGTCAGTAGAGGCTGTTGGGGTCAATAGAGACTGTTGGGGTCAGTAGAGGTTGTTGGGGTTAGTAGAGGTTGTTGGGGTCAGTAGAGGTTGTTGGGGTCAGTAGAGGTTGTTGGGGTCAGTAGAGGTTGTTGGGGTTAGTAGAGGTTGTTGGGGTCAGTAGAGGCTGTTGGGGTCAGTAGAGGTTGTTGGGGTCAGTAGAGGTTGTTGGGGTCAGTAGAGGTTGTTGGGGTCAGTAGAGGTTGTTGGGGTCAGTAGAGGCTGTTGGGGTCAGTAGAGGTTGTTGGGGTCAGTAGAGGCTGTTGGGGTCAGTAGAGGTTGTTGGGGTCAGTAGAGGCTGTTGGGGTCAGTAGAGGTTGTTGGGGTCAGTAGAGGCTGTTGGGGTCAATAGAGGCTGCAGCAGATGAAGAATGACTTCTCACTGTGCTGTAGGTCACTGCGTCAAGATCACCATGAACCTGGAAAATGACACAATATTCCAGCATTATCAACATAATGGAACAGCCAAAAAGACATTTGAATATACCTTTTGAAATGAATGTTTTTACTGCTGTTTCGATGGTTACAGTACGACAGAATCTCGTCAGAAAAAAGCTAATTTCATCCACCTTCATCCAGAATTGTATTTATTCACTGGCTTGTAGGCATCATGGTTGAGTTAGCATTTGCTGCTGTGCACTTCCATCCCTCATGTTGCATTTAGAGCACAAAACGAAACCCAGAGCACACAACCTGAATGTTAACTTCATAACCTGTCATTCATATCTGCTGTATTTCACTAAACTCTTTTTAATTATCCTATCAACCAAACTCATAAAGTCAAGATGGACCCTCCCTGTTTCTCTGAATGTTTTTAACCAATTAATGCTAAAAGAAAAAACAACCATCTTACCAAAACTTCGCCGCTGCTGGTTTTGGGATGTCTGATGGAGGCATAAGAAACGCCGGCGTCTGCATCAACCTGAACATGGAGGAAAACAACATCGATCATTTCTGGTTTCAGTGGAAATATTTCTCACATTTCTTCATGTAGACGAGTTTTAGTTTCTAAATATTAACTCAAAAAGACGCTTTATGGGATATTTTAGTACTTTAACTTGGATCTATAAACACAATAAGTTTTATTTATAGACAATACATTGTGTCCTAAGTTGAACTGCATTATTTATTATTTGTAAGTTGTATAAAAGCTTTTCCTAAATGCATAAACATGAGACTCCAGCTTCTTATTGAGTTCAGATTTCAGAAAAGCTTTTTTTCTCACACAGGAAATATTTTCTTATTTTCACTCACAGCGTTTTCATTCCGTCGTTTTTCATTTCCTAAGAAAGAAAGTTAAGAAGTCAGCAGATTTAATGGATAGGATGAAAACAGCTGTTTGTAAAAGTTCAGAGTTTCTCACGTTTCGCTCTCCATCCGATGCCAACCATGACGATTATCACCATCACAACCAACGCCACACCGACACCAATGTATGGAGAACCTGACGAGAAGAACGACGCATAAATAAAATGCCACTAGAGCCTCTTTTCATTTTTCTGACGAGAAGAACGACGCATAAATAAAATGCCACTAGAGCCTCTTTTCATTTTTAAAGTTAATTTCAGAAATTGGAAGCAGATTAAACATCCTTACAAAGGATTTTGTTTTAAATTAGTTTATAAAAGGATAAAGTTTAGGAATTTTTGGGAAATCAACTGATGACCAAAGTAAATATAATTAGTATTGTTGTTTAATGACTTTATATTCAGTTATATTATTAATAAACTGTCTTTTTTCCAAGTATTATCAGTTTGTTTATTGTGGAGATTTCCTGTAATATCTTGAATATGAAAATAACTCAAAAGCTTTTTTTTTTGCAAATAGGGTCTGAAGGTATGTGAAAGGATGAATTAAAAAAATAAAAGCACAAACAGAACAAAGCATTCTAGATAAAGATCTACATAAAAGCCTCGGTTTAATGAGATGCTCACTTCCTGTTGGGGTCTTCATTGTGTTTCCGTCTTCAGTTGTTGGTTTTTGTGTTGCTGCTTCTGCACCTAAAGGCAAATAAAAGCCTCTAAACTCAAACGCTGTCATGTTTTCTGTCTGTTGTGTTATTTTTGTTAGAAGATAAAATAACCAATTAACCAGAAACCATCAGTTATTTGGCTGCACATCATACACAAATCATCATAAGAGTGAATTTTGCATTGAAAAAAGATCGACTGAATTACTTTTGTCGAGTTTTCTCACCTGATGAGTTTTGACTGAAGGAAAACAGTTGAACATTTCTATGAGTTCCAGTCACTTCACACTGAAACAGCTGATCCATCGATGATGAATTATCAGAGTTAGACTCCAGATAGACCACAGTAGCAGAACATTTGTTATCAGACGGCTTTACTTTGAACTTTTCCATTTCTTGATGACTAAAAAGCCACTTCACTTTGTGTTTGCAGGAGACAGATTTGGTAACAGAGCAGCTCAACGTGACCGTTTGGTTCTCCACATGTTTAATCACTGGAGGAAAAATATTCACAGAATTATCTCCATTGTTATCTATGATGAAGTTTCAGAAAAAAGATTGAAATGTCATGAAATTACTCACTGGTGATAACAGACAGATCAATCACAGACCGATGAGGCAAACTGTTTGAGCCTCCAGATTTATCTTGTTGACACTCATACTGTCCAGCATCCTCAGCTGTGATGTTCTTTATAATTAGAGAACAGTTTGCAGTTACACTGGTTCTGGTTCTGGTTTCCCTCTCAATCTGTCCAAACGTAACCAGAGCTAAGATCTCGTTGCTTTTGGACCCTCCAAAGAGCCACGATGTACCGTTACAGTTCTGTTGGCCTTCCACCACATTCTGACACGACAACATGGCGTCGTCTCCAGCTCTCTTTAAAACAGACGCACTGTTTGCAACGGCTGCTGAAAAGATAGAATAGATCCAGTAGCTTTACATAAAGCCATGTGCATCAGGATCTGGAAGCATTTCAGTCATTAACTCAACAAACCAGAACAAATGTTTCAAGTTTTTGTTTCACAGTTTATCAGATATATCTCATTCTCTTACCTGTAACCTGGAGCTCCAGGACCAGAAATAAAAACGTTTTAATCCATCTGAGTTCAGTCATCCTGTTGCACTCAGATCTGTCTGAGTCTGAGAACAGAGGAGTAGCAGCGACTTCCTGACACTCACCGCTTCCTTAAATCGACTGCGAATCTTTTATCATTTCATTTTAGGCAGAAAAATAAAATAGAATTTTAGTTAAATAAAATAGATTTATTAATATAGATGCACATGATAAATTTTCTATATTAATCATTCAAATTTCACTTTAAGTTATTAGGAGATTATAAAATACTAAAAGTATTTTGGTAAGAAATGAAAAGGCAGGGAGACATTTAATAAAAATAAATTGTAGCAGATTGTGTTCAGCAGTGCAAATCAACATCTGGTGTGTTTGATGTTTATTTAAAAAAAGAGGAACTGAATAAATATGTAAAGACTGAGCAGATAAATATCAGATAGTTCTTCTTTTCTGAGTTTGGATTTAATAGAGCAAAAATAGAGGATCAAACTTCTGATCACACGATTATTTTCTTATTTAATTTCATTCATCTTGGGCCTTTAACTGCTTTTGCAAACCTGAATTTTCTGCAAACTGAAAATCAAGTTACTAATGAAAACACAGAGAAGGAAGATTGTTAATGCTTGTATTCTGCTTTTATTTTGGTGCAGTTTATTATCAAAACAAGAGTTTGTGCTGCAGAGCAGAAACTCTCGCTGATCAACATCCTGCTGATCACATTATGCGTGACGAGTCAAGTGTCTTATCACGCCTCCAAAAGGTTGTTTTCTTGATAGCTGTACAGGAAGTGAATAGATAAGCGTCGACTATTAGATGCAGCACCGTTCTTTTCTTCTTCTGTGTTTATGATGATTTAAAAACACAGAATTTGTGTTTTAGATTAAACAAAATCCAAACAGTAACCAAACACGTCACAAATAATAAAAGTTTATTTCTGAGAAAACTATTCTTATTTAATCTGAAACATTTTGATCAGTAAACAGGAAGCATTTGAAACAAGCGCTGAGATAATAACACAGGAAGTTAGCGCCTATTAGCTTAGCGTGTCTTAAACCTACAGCAGGAAATCAAACCGATTATTTTCATAAATAAGAACCATAACAGCAGAATCTTCTGTAAACATGATGACTGTTTCCTTGTGTGCAGTTGCACCGTTCTGTGTTAGAAACAGCAACAGACCAAATCAACAGCCATGAGGTGCCCCACTGCTCACTGTCATGGTTTTGGAAAACTTTTCTTTACTCAAAGCAGACTGACGCATGAAGATCCTGTGATTGAGCCAAAGAAGAGAAGACTCTCTATTGAAGCTCTTTTCACTATATTCTCATAAAATCTGTTTATTAACAGAAAGAATTTGTTCTTGTAAAGTGATTTTCTTATTCTGAAATAAACAGGGAATCATAAAACTGTTCTCAAAGGTTTTCCTCTGAACTGAAGCAGAAGTGATTGATGTGGTTCTAATGATGTGACAAACTGAGTAGAGTTAGCCAACACTTTAAAACAAACAAACAAAAACAAACATGTACTAATAGATATACCTGCAATGAAAAATGAATGTAAAATAAACTCCAGACTCCATTTGCCCAAGATGTTTGTGTTGACTGTAAAACTCAGTGGATCTTTGTAACACTTTTCTAGTTGCATTTCTGACCAGAATCTTCAAGGAGAATAAATTACTCAACTACTTCGATCATATGAACACAGAACAGCTCTACTTAGTTTCTCTACTTAGTTTCTCTTTATTTTCTTTGCTTGGATTATGAGCATAAAATTAGCAGCTATAAACAATTAGCATAAAATGAATTCAATGTCTTGCTTTGGCAAGTAAATTTTACTAAAAAACAACTAAATGTACGGTTTTTAATACATCTTATAGCAAATATTTACACAAGCAACATTTTAGAAGAAATAAAATGTAAAAAAATAAATAAATCCACATTAATCTCAAAGAATTAGCAAAAAATACATATTGATAGCATCTCTGGTTACAAACTGATGCAAAACGAAAGTTAACAAGTTTCTGTCTGACATCAATTAAACCTTTAGCTGAAAACAAGGCGCCAAGATTCACCACTTCTGGCTCTATGCTGCCCTCTGGTGTGCAAATAATCTATCAAATAAAATAGACTAACAGACTGGATAATATTCATGAATGTTTTCTGACAGATATATATATATTATTGACAGATAATTAAAAAACTGGAGCAATATGAACGTTGAAACTTGAAGCTATACAGATTTATATTAGACATCCTAATATAAATGAATCTAATTCAAAGCAAATTTAACAATTTGTCAAGTTAAAATGTTGAGAAATGTAAAAATGTATATCTATGTGGTCAATTAAACATATTGCTTCAGTTTTTACTCTGTTTTTTTTATGAAAGCTAATTTCTGCCACTCAAAAAATATAAAAAATTCTCATTATGAGATTTTTATATCTGTTGTCATCTAAAAGGTACATTAATATGTGACTCAACAGTGCCTCCTACTGGATGAATTATTATTGAAAATGTGACTGACTATAGGTTCAGGAATTAATGCATTCATTTCAAAATAGAGCAATTAAAATTATGACTAAATAGAAATTGATAAGTTGGATTGTGGTTGTGTGGCAGAGTTGTCGTCTTGCAATCGGAAGGTTGTAGGTTCGATTCCAGCTTCGCCCTGCCATATGTCGATGTGCTTCTGGGCAAGGCACTTAACCCCAAATTGCCTACCGGTCTGCGTATCGGTGTATGAATGTGTGTGTGAATGGGTGAATGTGACTCTAGTGTAAAGCGCTTTGAGTGGTCAAAATGACTGGAAAAGCGCTATATAAGTTCAGTCCATTTAAAATTTCATGTGTTTTCAATCACAGTAAATAAGTTTGTTTCTCAGAAATGTGTTAAATTGCAAATTCTTATGATTTCTCTCATTTCAGTAACTTCTAAATAGAGAAGTAATTGAATTACATAAAATTAAGCTGAGCATTATCATATGGTGCAAAAAAAGAAAAGAATAAAAAAAGACATTAGTACTTCTGGTAACTCCAGGGGGCGATGATGGCTGCTAAACAGAAAGTAGTAAATGTGTTATCAAAAACAAATGAGTGTTGTAATCGAGTGCTTCTCTTTAGTTTCTATTTTATATAATCAGCCCTCAGATAAATACAAAACTACAGAACTATGTATTAGTGACTGTAATACAATAAACTATTTTATTGATGCAGTCGATAAAAATACAGGAAACTGATAAAAGCAAATGTCATACAAAGTTTTCCAGTGCATTTTAAAACAAAGCGAGATATAAGAGTCACTAACATGTTACTAACTTAACGGAAAAGTATAATTAAAGTCTCATTCCAACCTATTTTCCCGGAGCGGTGAGAAGAAAGTAGATGCCGCTGGGATCAGCAGGGGGTCTGGGAGATCCCACAGTGCTGTAGGTCATGTCATCACTTTCACCAACAACCTGGAAAATATATATATATATATATAAAAATATAAATAAATCTACAGATATATAAGTAGTTTTAGCATCGAGTTACAGCTTCCTGTTTAGAGCTGCTTCAAGTTTTTATTATTATCATCCAATTTAGCTCCAACTTATCAATTTCTTTTTGTTTTTCCAGACAAAATCACATCATTTGACACACCAACATGTGGAATAAACACAAGTTTGCACAAATAAAGATTTCATTACTTTGCTAATATTAACTCTTCTTCAGTTATCTGCATATTTTTTGGCCTGCAGTCCCAGGAGTCTCTGGTGTAAAAGCTGAAGCATCCAGTACTTTGAAAGAGTTAAGAATATTTAGCTTTCAGGTGAAATTTATGAAAAACGTGAAATTACAATATTATATTATATAAATAAGGGATATTATTTCCTTGTCTCAATGCACTGAAACAAACTCCAAGCAGTGGTGGGTTTGAAACATCTGCAGTTTGAATTGAAGTCTGATAAGTGAATACTTTCAGTCAGATTGAGTCGAGGAATAAAGAAAGTCTTTCTGACTAACTTTACACTTACATTAAACCTGACTGGAGCTTCTCTGATGGTGGAGTAATAGACACCATCTTCAGGCTCCACCTGCAGAAGAAACATTTAGTTTAACATCTATGAGATGTAGAGCAACTTTGACAAGTTTATCTCTTCGAATTTAGCAGCTTATTTTAAAAGCTGTGCACATCAAACTCGATGCTTTATGAGTTTTTGAACAGTGATCTTAATATCTGTCATCACACGAAGCTCATGCGTCTGGTTTGCATGATTAGCAGGTTATTTTGCTCACGTTCTCCTTGCTGGTTTCCTGGGTCGTGGTCGATTCTGGAACAGTTGGATTCACTTCCTGAACCATGAAAAGAAACGGCCTGATTACTGCTTTCGAAAAGAGGAACAGTGCAATGAAGCAGTGATACTCACATCATAGACATGCACCTGCTTCGTGTTTCCTGCAAAGTCATCAGGCTCGACTTTAACATCCAGTTAAAACAAAAGGTGATTTTAATGTTTAAAGTTTTATGTTCTCACGTTTATTTCTCCATCTGATGACGAACACAGCAACTGCTGTCAAGAGCGCGACTGAGAAAACAGCTGCAGCGACGTAAGGAGCTCCTGACCAGAAACCTTTGAAAAAGTTACTGTAGATCAGCTTTTCATTTTTACTCTTTCCTTATAATTGAAAGCATAATTAATGAAACAAACATTGAATTGTTCTGTTGGTGAAATGGTCAAAAAATATTTTAATAATTTTCCCTCTGCATGCTTTTAGTTGGTCATTAGTGCAGGATGTTGACATGCCTGACCTGATTTATGTTCTGTGGACTGATGGTTGAAGTTGAAGATCTGTTTGGTTTCAGCGTTTGTGACTTCACACTGGAACTCACAGCTCTGTGTGAGGGAACGCTCTATGAAACAAACTGCAGCAGAGCAGCCAGAGTGTCGTACTGTACAATTGATCTCATTCCCAGTAGAACAGTCATGCTGCCATGTCACTCTGGATCCACATGCACCGCGCGTCTCCACAGAGCAGGTTAATGTCACCGTATCTGTCTCCTTCTGCTCAGTCACTGGACAAGAAATAAGATATTGGAAGAGACATTTTACACAAAAGGACATTTTTGTGTAGAAGTTTGACTTCTATTGAGCTCAATCTTTAAAATGGATACAACAGTGATAAAGTGTAGAAAAGAAAAATGACTTCATATTCATACTCACTGTGAACAACAGACAGAGAAACTAAAGACTGATGAACCAGAATGTGTTTACTGGGGTCAGCTTCAGATTTATATTGTTGGCATTGATAATAACCAGCATCCTCCACTGTGATGCTCCTCATCACCAGAGAACAATTTGCTGCAACACTCAGTCTGTCAGAGTTTCTCTGCACTTGGTCAACCTGTCCCAGTGTAACCAGTTCTACTGAGCCACTGGTTCTACTATAGACCCATGTGGTACCATTACACTTTATCTGACCACTGATCACATTTTGGCAAGACAAAACCATGTCATCCCCGGATCTCATGAAAACAGACGATCTAGTTATTGTGCAACCTGTTGGGTAAAAAAAAAAAAAACTTTAAAAATGTGTAAATCTAAACATTTCAAAATGATTCAGGTTAATCAATTGATGACTTGATCAATTCTCATGTTTAAAAACAGAAAACAGCTCATTTATAAGACATAAAAGTGTAAATACAGCATCAGTTTACTGAGTTTAGCTCTGATACCCAACTATAGTTTCTGAGATACTAAATATTTTTATTAGTTCTTACCAGTAAACTGAAGCCCCAGGATCAGAAATAAATGAACTTTAATCCGTTTTAGTTCAGCCATTGTTCATCGACGCCTCTGACTAAATAAAGCGTCTGATACAAGCAGCTTTTTGAAGGTCATCTGTACTTCCTGTTAGAGAGGTGACACTTCCTCATCGCTTCTGTTTATTTAGACTTCATTTCGTTTCTCTCAGTTACAAATTGTTTAAAGAACAGATTAACCTGCATTAAGTGTCGATGTATTTTAACATGACCAAGGAGCTTCATGTGTAATAAAATCACATTTAAACCATTTGGTGAACATTGTTTTCAGCCACGAAGCAATGAGAGACAGAGGCGTTTCTCACAGCTGGAAACAAAAAGTGAACTGAAAGCAAAGGAAAAGTTTTCAAATGAACAAGTTTTCCAAAGAATCTGTGTAGATTTAGCATCGAGTAAAACTTGCACAATGCTGCAACAACTGCAGGTGAAACACAGAAAAAAGGTTGAAAAGCTTTAATGCAACTAGATTCTCATTTTAACTCGGCCTTCATGAGAAGTGAAGGGGGAAGTGTTTGATGAAAACATGAGCTGCATCAAGATCCGTTTTCACAGCAAGACCACAACTGCTCACAACGACGAAACAAACGTCTTTGCTTAACATCTCAATCCGTTTAATATCTTTCACTTCTGTTTTGGTCATTTTTTATGCTCTAAACATTCACAAAGTCCATTAGCCAGCAGTTTACTGTTAAAAAGGCATTCACCTTTATTGCAGCTTAAGGGGAAAAAGCAGCGATGAACTTTATTTGATATGTAACAACATTTCACTCTTAAGTCTCTAAAGGTCAGAGTTAAATAAAAGTTAGGCAGCCATATTGGTTCCTTTTATAGCAGCCTTCACAAACTTCTTACTGAAATATCACCAACTAAACTGACTTTGAAGAAAATCTTTTAATTTATTGTTTCATTTGCAGTTGCTTTGTTGATCTCAATACCAGCCATTATAAAATCTTGTTAGTATCATCATTATTCATGGAAGTTATGGGAAATGTTTATACCTCAACATTTAAATGAAACGTTTTTCACAAACATTTGACCAAACAGTTGGTAACATGACTCTGGATGAACCTGTCCCGACTTTAAATCAGGTAGAAACACTATTAAGCCGTTTTAAAGGTTGAACATGTCTCCTACATTCAGTAAAAACCCAAAAATTATTTTCAGACAGGCCAGATTGGACATTATTGTGGAATTTAAGAACTGGACAAAATTTCCAAATTATCTCATTAAGCTGGTCTGTCCAGCTTTTAAAACAAAAGAGAGTTTGTTTGTTTTTGGAGACTCGTGCTGCGTTCCAGTTGCATTAGGAAAATCCAACATCCCAGTTGGTAAAATCCTCACATGCTGGATTTCCCACTGGTAACTGGGAGCAACAACCAACTTGCCCCAGTTACAACTTGTAAGGCTGACTCTGCGTTTCAATATGGCCGCTTCTTGAAGTAGGTTTTGGTGGAAACATGTTTATTTTATGAGACATGTAAGAGTGTGTCTGAAACCAACATTAGAGTAGAACCAGCAGCTAATCTGAATAAACTGAAATGGTGTTTGGTTGTGGAGTGTAAAGTTTAAAATGATGTCACTATGTTGACTCCGCCTCCCGAGGTAACTGGACCACAGCTTCATTCCTCTGACTGTCGCTCCAAAATAATATAAGTTTATCATTTCTGTCTGGATCAGCAACAACAAATCCAACGCAAGTTCAATTTGAAAAAATTAACATTGCATTGATTGCTGTGGGAATAACCACATTACCTCCATATGCTCACTTTTTTTGTTTTTCAATCATATAAAGATAAAATATAAACCTATAGCGTTTTTAAAAAACACCTGAAACTGTTTATTAAAACTTCCCAGTCATGTCATCATTTTAACTAACTTTTTATTGTGTTTTTTGTGAATGTTTGTTAAATGTTTGTTAATTCTTGATTGTATGTTTATAATGTCTTTTTGTTGTTTGGGTCTCCTTGTCTAGGACTACAGATGGAAATTAGCAATTATGCTATAATCTGGCTCATTTACAGTCTATACAGTAGTGTTGATTGTTCATTAATGTGCATTGTCCTTAATAAAGATTAAAGATTAAAGATCAGCAAAAAAGAACAAGAAGAAAAAACATACCATATTTTTGAAATGCAACGCTCCAGAAAAAGAGCCTGGAGAATCCCAGTGAACATCTGTCAACATAATCCAGGTCAAAAAGCAGTTTCTGTTGGTTCACCCTCTGCTCCTTGTTTTTCCACAAGTATGGAAGCACAAAGCTGCCAAAAATAAAAAGTGAAAAGTCACCAAGTCAAAGCACCAAGTGCCATAACATTTAGATCAACATGAACCTTTATGTGTAGCAACACTGAAACACGTCAGCTTTCTGGAAAATCTTTAAAATAGATGCAACAAATTCTGCTTAAGAGTTAATTTTATGCCTACGAAGAGGAACAGAGGTGAATCAGTGATCCTTTATTAGTGTTTCCCATTTTGAGAATGAAAACACATACAGAAACTGTTCCCTGTGTTTGCATGAACGTACTTTGTAAAATCTGGGCGTATAAACCGGCTGGTTCAGGAGGATGATTCTCTGCAGAGTCCTGAGGGTCACATCTACAGAAATTTAACCCGGTGGCTCAAACGCTCCTCGGCCCGTACCTGGCAGAACCGCATCTCCGCCCCAGTCCAGCAGAGAGCAGCTTAATTCCCAGACTCCCTGCATGATTTCAGCTCAGATGGAGCTTCTGGAAACAGCTGGAGGTCAGAGACACACAGCCTCTCTGAATGTTCAGAGAACCTGACAGAGAAAGGTTCAAATATATCCTGTGGTTTACAATCGAGAGGAAAAATGTTTACATCCATAAATATTTTCATTAAAACATTCCACATCAGAAATTAAAAAAAAGAGGAACAATGAAATGTGTTCTGAGCTCAGAGTCTTTAGTTTTACAAAAGGACTTTGATTCAATCCATTTCTATTCATTTGCAGGATTATTGAGATATTAAGAGAATATTTTCTAATTTAATACATTTGGGAGATTCTTGGATTATCTTTTATTCTCCACCAGAGTTAAAGGTCCAGTAGGAAGGAAAACCACAAACAAACCTAAAAGGAAAGTGTTCAGTTTGATCCTTTTTGTGCGATTAGAGTCGGTTTTTCCACCTGTCCTGCTGATCAGCAGACTTCAACCGTTGCTGCTGGGGTTCTGGCTGCCGGGTTTCTGGCTGCCGGGCTCCATTGTGGGTTCAGTGATGCTTCCTGCTGCTTTCCTGCTGACTGCAGGGCGACCACAGACTTCCTCCATTTCATTTCCCCTCTGCTGGGCTTTATTGTACTTTGGCTTAGTTAAAAACCGTTGAACATGAACTCTGAGCTCGACGCTGGCGTGCAGCGTCCACAGAAGACTGAGGAAATGATTCTGCTGTGAAAGCACCACACTGCCGCAAGCAGGGACATTTAAATGACAGACTGAAGGCTGAAAATTAAAAATAGAGCAATGTGACAGAAATTCAATGTTTGGAATATCTACAAAATGATTAAACTCCTTATGAAACATGCAAATGACTTGATTTTATATTTCTCTTTCTATAAAGAATAGATTACCTTAATCATAACAAGCATAAGAATCAATAAAAAGGGAAAAATGCTGAATCTTATTGTACTTCTCTGAACATGGAGCTGAGATGTTTCTCTGATGCAGAAACATTTGAGCTTCGCTGTTCGATTCTGCAAAAACATTTTGCTTCAGAGTGGGCAGGTTGCCAAAGCTGCCGTGTCACGTTGAATTAAGTCGGGTCCAAAGTCTGATCCAATACAGGCCGAGAAAAAAAACCCTGTTCAACTTTCTGTTCCAGCGATAACAGAACCGTCAGCACCGAAAAGAAAACAGAGACTGAAACGCCACAGAGACTCACTGCATGAGATCAGATTGTTTACAGATGTTATGACAGTTTCATACAAGATCCCATTTCAGAAAAGTTTATTTGTTGCCATTTTGTCCTTCAGCAAAATGTACAAATTTATGAGAACATTAAACTTTCCTGCTGTTGGTGTTTCTGGAGCATATTTAGAAATATTCTGATAAGAAACTTTTGTCTGAAACTGCTACAGGAAGAAACTCGAGACTAAAGACAAAATGCATTTGTTTTGACTTTTAAATGTTCTGAATCATTTATTGATCTCTCAGAGAGACAAATCATTCAGCATCCTGATTATTGAGAGATTCTATCTCATCAGAAATCATTTTTACCTAAATGCATCTTTACAAGTGGAGAACACAACCTGACAAAACAAGCAGGACGATGAGAAAAGTTCACCCATTTGGAATGAATATCAAGGCCATACGAAATTACAATAAACAAAAGCAGCAAAAATCAACAAAATAAATAATCACCATGATAAAGGATGTTAAAGATATTGAATGTCTGAGGGGTTAAAATCTGTTTCCTGTCATCCTGAGAGGATTTAGATTTCAACCATTAACATTTGACCTCATAATTTACAAAGCTTATCTTTTCATGGATACCAGGATGTTTACGACTTTTAGGAGGAGAAGCAGAAACTTCTTCAAGTTTTGATCAGCAGAGAGAAAATCTGGACATTTTCACTGATGAAATATGTTTCTGATGTTTATGTATCTGCAGCAAAACACAGACCTTTAATATATAAATGTTCTTATAACCTGCATACAAAGTGTAAAGTTTCATCAAACAAAGCAGGTAAAAAGCTTCTCAAGTGAACCTCAGGCTGCAGGTGTTTCTAATGAAAGCAGTTCAAGTTTTGATGAGCGTTACTGCCATCTACTGGCATGGAGTGGGAATCGAATTGCTAAATAAATGTTAGATTTTAAAACTAAATGAATCAATAAAACTACTGGCCACAATCAGTCCGCCTGGCCCAGTTACTTTTCTATTTCTGCATGAAATATAAAACTAAACCCAAAACATATTGAGCCAATAAATTGTAGATAAAAGACAAAAAATATTAAAGATCATTAAACATTGGCTCAAGCTCATTCCTATTTAAATGGAGTGAAGGAAACATAAAAGATGTTAAAATATGTTTGAAAGATTTTTGTTTGATTATTCCAAAATAAATTCTCTGTCCTTTTCCAATCCAGTTATTTTAAGAAAAAAAAGTTTTCAATTGTTAAAGGCAAAAATTTTGTTGCAATTGGACAAAAATGTAAGCAGTAAAAAAAAATACACATTAAAATAGATCATAAATTATAGGCCAGTATTTTTGAATTTCCTGCTAACTCAGTCAGTAAAGGAGGAATTAGTTTGATTTGAAAACGTTTTCTGATTATTTGATGTAAGATCCGTTTCCCGTTTGCAGCAGATTTCAAACTAATAACTTTAACATTGTAGCAGCAACTTAAAATAAGGAAATACCAAGATAAAAACCAACAATGCTCCAACCGCTGATGGATAAACTTTCTACCCATTCTTAAAATAAAAGCTTATGAATCCCAGAACTGAGGACAGATTGTTCATTATACTCAACAAAATACAAAAATAATCTTTATTATTTGACAATATAATTTTCATATTATTATTAATACAGATTTGAAGATGGATGAACCCGGAAAGGTGATGCTGTTCAGCATTCTGTCCACTAGATGATGCTAACAGCTTTAATACAACTTGAAACTGGACTGCTGAAGGTTTCATTTCCTGTTTCAGTGAAACCTTTTTCCATCATTTCATAATCAAACCAATCATGCCAACAGTTAGCTCTATGATTATATTTAATGCAGAAAAATCTCCAATAAAACAAATTTGAGATAATTTTGCTATTTTTTTATCTTAAACTCAAAGGTCTTCTGATTCAGGTCTTGTAATGATCACAGACGCATCATAGGGGTAGCCAATTTTTAATCTCATTTCAATTTAAAAATTCATTTTTAATTTCTTTAAAACATTTGTTTTTTCCTAATTGTGCCAATGAGAATATTACTGGAAGAAAATGATTGTGAAACACTGCAATAAAATGTAAAGTTTGCTACATTAATACAATTTCCCATCAGACTGATGACATCACAGAGGTCAGAAACAGAACCGGCAGCCGCCTGCGTCCACCATCAAAACCGCCACGGGAAAAAAAAAAATCAGAAAATACTCACTGGAAAGAAGACAGACTGTAAAACAAGAAGTCCTCAGTAAACATAAATGGAAATCATAACGGAGAACAAACAGGACAGGAGGAGGAGAGTGAAATGAAGTACACGTGAAACTAAATCCCCTCTCAGAGTCAGACGGTCAACATGAAGCTGGAATAGAGCGTCATGATATCTGGGATTCAACATCCACTACTTTTTAACTCTAATAAAACAAAAAAGTGTGCGTCAATTTTTCCAAACATGAGCCGCAGAGAAGCTTTTGTCATTCTGATGGTGACCAACACTTGAATGTTTAATTTTGCTTAGTAATCTTAAAAAAATGCCATTTAATAAACTAAATTTAAATGTGTAAAAAATGATTTTGCTAATTTACAGCTCACTGTGGAATCAATTTGAAAATGTAACAATCTGATGCATCACTTTCTGAACTTAAAGCAGGAGAAAATGATGTGGCATAAAAACATCTTTCATTAATGAAGGAGCCAAAACGTTCATCTATCCAAGCTTCATGTGAACACACCCTGAATTCAGTGCAAAACCCGTTAAACAAGCACTTTGTGTGGCCGGAGCGTTCTGCAACTGCAGTGAGATTGTTTTACATGATGGCCTCAGGTCAGAGGTCACGCCAGTCCCTGATTAGACTCTTCATTGTTTGGACCCCAGTTCACAGAAAGGAGAAGAAGAAGAAATGTCGGCCGGCGGCTCGGATCTTGGCTATGGCTTTTTGTGGAGTGTCGTTCCTGCAGCAGCCAGTCAGGAGGTGGAAGTGGGCTGGTGAGAACGTCAGAGTGTCCGGTCGAGCTTTGGGACGTCAGAGTTAGCTTTCCTCTTCATCGTTTTCAGTGCAAATCCATCAGAAAAGTCTTTCCGTCTCTCACTGAAGGAGCTGGAACAAAGTGCTTCAGTTTGCAGGGGACAAGGTTTTTTTTTGTCTGTTTTCAGAAAGTCCTCAGTAATAAAACTAAAATCTCAGTAACAACAGGAAATATACACAATCATACGTTTATAATATATTATGTACATTTTACATAAGCTTAAAAAAGAAAACATGGCTGCCTTTTCAAGGTGGAGAACAAAGTGCCATCACTTTGCATAATGTAAACATGAAACAGTGGCTGTGTTTCTGCTGCTGCTCAAACAAAAACACACTTTCACTAACAAAATCACACAATTCTCGCTTCCATGTGCAAATCTGACATACACAGCATGTCAGGAAGAGCAAACAGCAACACAACGCGGCTGAGGTGTTCACACACGCAGGCAGAGCGTTTCAATGGAAAACTGGATCAGAGGAAAACTCCCCACATCTTACTGCAGTGCTAACGGTCAAACTGGGTTCATCTCTTCAGAGGAAACCGCCTCGCTTACTCAGTCCTGAACCTTCAGCAGAGACTTGAGGTGAACGCTCATCTGCTCCCGGCTCTCACTGTTCTGCTCCGGCCCGTCCTCTCCGACCCAGTGGCTGGGCGGTTTGGGTAAGACGCTGGGCGACGGCGGCTCGCTGAACTTCGCCCCGGCGTAAATTTTTTCACAATCTTTGAGGTATTCGGCTTCGGCGGAGCTGACGGTTGGGATGGGGACGTTGTTTGAGGCGTTCAGGGGTTTCTTGGGTTCGACGGAAGACGAAGGCTTCTTGGGAGTGCGGTTGTCGTTCCTTTTAGCGGCGGGGGAAGCGGCAGGCGACTGGCTCTGTTTGGGTTTGTGGCTCCTGGTGTTCACATTGTGGGCGAGTTGATCGTGTCGTGGGAGGTGACGGGGCGCCTGGACACCTTTGGGCTTCAGCACCTAAAAATAAAGAAGTTATTAAAATGATGCATGACAAACATTTTTTCTCTTTTCCAAAACCATATTAAAATATTAACTTTTAAAACTGTTTGTCGTTAAAATGAGAACGAAAAGTGACAATGAAGAATCATAATCTTTCTACACACCTGAGAGCAATTTAGAGTTTGGATATTTTTAAAAATAAAGTAAAACTAAACAAAAAGTAAAGACGTAGCTCTCAGCTTTCAGTTGAGAATAATTGCAGAGAGCTGCTGGTATACACACTGCAGAAACAGAAGATATCAGCCAATCAGCAACTAATTTAATAATTGACTAATTATTAAGTTAATTATCCCTGAAGACCCATTCTTTGTTAATTAAGATCAGTCACTCACAATTTCACCTTGAAACAAATCCGCAGGATAAAAAGTCATTAGGATTTCTGGTTACATTTTATATCTAATTTAAACATTTTTTGCCTGATTGATGCTAAAATATTCCTTTTGTTTAGCTCTATGAACATAAAAACAATATTTATCCATTTTCTATTCACTTCAAATGTCTACCAATCCATCCACGCATCAGATGTGAAGAGGTAAATAAATTTCCTTTCGTTTCAAACACAAACTGAAGCATGGCTTCAACAGCAGCTGGGATCAGGTTTCATTCTCTATCAGTGTTGATGTTCAGAACAAACGGCTGCCACCCACAGACAGTCATGTTCAAGTACGATCCGTCACGTACGCCTGGTTCTGTGAGTCACGCTGCTGGTTGCAAAGGCTTGCAGTGACTTTGGAAATTATTGTTGCTGTTTTTACTTTTTTATCCAAGCTTTTCTCTGGAAGCAGGTTTGGAAATTCATGCCGGAGAAAAAACTTCAAGCAACAGGATTCAGTTCAAGCACATGAATCCCACCAATTTCTTTAGCCTCAAGCAGTTTTTATTTTTGTGTAGGATTGATTTGTGTTGTGTTGCCTGCAGCCCAGCCTGTCCTTCATTCATTACTCTTATGCATGCCCAAAGGAAACTCAGTCTAGAATTTAGCAGCTTTTAAATAAACTGTGTTTTCAGGTTAGGACATGCAAGTAAATACCTCGGTGTGTGTTCACAGAACAGCCGTGCAGAGCTGCCGAACAGGACTGGAGGGTGTGTGTGTGGTTGAAGGAGGATGATACTTTTATTTTCATGTCAACACAGGTTTGCAATCTACTTTTGAGGAGCATATTAACTGTTATTTAGGCTTGAGCCAATTTTTCAAGATTTAATCATGTTAAGAACATCTAATAGCTAAGATGTTTTACATGATTAAATGAAATAAAGTTAGCAGTTGGCTGGCTTGAAACAGTCATTAGTAAAACTACTTGCAAAAATGTTAACTTTTTACCCATTTTCCTTTAACCAGCTCTCTTTGTTTATGGTGTTCTGAATTATGTCACGAAGTTTTTCTGAGTAAAGTGCAGCTGCAGCTTTAAACTGTTATGCACTTTGATCTGGATGTGGTAAAGTTTGGTTCTTCCTCCTTTTGTCCCAGAGAAACCTGTTGTGGTAACAGCTGCATCTTTGTGCGCTGATCAGCAAGTGAAAACAGGAAGTGAAGCTGGTTTTTCACTTATTTGTTCACAACAGACTGCAAGTGCGTCACTAGAAAAGCCTGACGCTCAAAATGCACTTTAAAAATGACTGAATTTGCCTTGAAACTGGATCAGTGTGTCGTAAATGAATATAAACACACGGAACTCACTATAAAGTTGTTTGGATGTGACCAATTGGTTAAAAGAGACACATTATTGTTTCAGTTCTACTTCAGAGAAATCAGGAATATATATAGAGCTGTCATTTATATTATACTTGTGTTATAAACACTAAATTGATTAAATATTGTTTCTTGTTGGATCTGATGCCACTGAGGCCTAAAAGTGCACAAACTTCCGCAAACTGACCTCTTTCTTAGCGCCTTGTTTGACATGATGGAGGGTCAGAACCGTCTGGGTCCCAGAGGGCAGGTGAGACGCGGACTGGGCCGGGTGTCTGAGCCCCGCTGAGGCCGTCAGGGTGGCGGTGTTGTTGTGGTCTGACAGCCGGATGTTCGGGCAGTGTCTCGGGGGTTTCTGGTGCTGCAGCAGCGGCTTCCTGCTTCCCCTCTTCGGCAGCGCTTGCTTGGCTTTACAGCTCGGTATCGGGTTGTTGTTTTCCACGTTGCCGATATTGGCTTCGTCACCGTTCGCAGGAGATCCGTCCAACATTTTCTTGGAGAAAACATAAATCAGCTGCGGCGAAGTTGTTTCAACGAACAACGTCACAGGCTAACAGTGAGCTAACAACCTGTCAAGTAGCTAACTACACTTTCCGAAATGCCCTAAAACAGGAAGCAGGAATCACAAAAACAACTTAGGTTTGTGTTTTTGTAAGTTCAAGAGATGAAATATGTTTGTTTCTGGTAACAGTCGCCGATAAAACACCGAGAAACAGATACTTTCTTTGTGGCGAATCGCTCCTAGTCTGACCTAATCAACCAGGAGAAGCTTTATATAGTTTATAGTAGTCACGTGATTTCCTGTAGTAACCTTTCAAAATAAAGAGGGGTGTGAATCAGGATGAATGTCAAAATTCAGAAATTGCATCACAAAGTCTAAAATGTGTACGCGATAGTCAGTAAGCACTATTAAACATATCTATATGCATATATAGATATGATTATCTATCTATCTATCTATCTATCTATCTATCTATCTATCTATCTATCTATCTATCTATCTATCTATCTATCTATCTATCTATCTATCTATCTATCTATCTATCTATCTATCTATCTATCTATCTATCTATCTATCTATCTATCTATATATTACATATGCATATATAAGCTAGACCTATGATGATGTGAAACAAATATGTAAAACATATTAGCATAAACTAATAAGTTAATAGCTTTTACATGATTGTCTTTTTCGTGAAACAATTTACACATTTTCTATTTTAAAATATTTGCAAATCAAATGAAGTTTCTATGGGCTTTTTTAACAGGCAACCAGCTTAGTTGATTCTTTTCAATTGGACAGTCCTGTGAAAAAGCATCTGCGCTTGTCTACATTTAGATTTTTTGCTTCTGTTACATTTAAATGTGTCAGATCATCAAACAAATTTTGGTTAATTTTAGTAGTTGCAATGACAAACAAGGAGAGATTTAGACATATATCATTGCATGATTGTATCAATTCAGCCAAATGGAAGATTTTTTAAACATCAATTATCTGCTTAAGATTAAGCCAGCAGTTCACTAAATTTGAATCCACTTTGACTAGGCCACTCCAGAACCTATTTATTTATGTCATTCATCTGTAATCCTGCAGACTATACCTCAGTACAGTCTGCAGGAAGAAACAGCATCACACACAGGAAACATAAATTAATACCCCACAGTTTTATTGTATAAAACATTACCTGCAGCTGACCAGCATTCGTAACATTCAATAAAATGTGTGTGTTAATTCTCACTACACTATTTTTCTGTCAAAACCAGGTGTCTAAAAACACTGACAATAAAAAGGTGGGCTGGTACTTTGTTGTTTTACAGTACATATCATTAGTGCACAAATGTTTCAAAACCAACTAATCAAGAAGGAGAAACACAGGAGCTTTAATCTACTACAATAATAGGTTAATAGCAACTATTTGGCAAAGAGAACAAATAAACCTAGATGTTAATTTCAATCTCACTTGGGAGGACATATTAAAGGTTTGCTTCAGTACAAAAAATAGATAATATAAACAATATACAAATACAACATAAATAACTAGGTAATCCATCCCTGTGATGGTAGTACATATCATTTGTCACAATGACCATTGAAGGCAAATCAACGAGACAACGAGGCTCCTGGAGGTGTTTGTCTGTCCACGTGTTGGAAGCAGCGGCTGATTTAAGGCTGAGCTTCGGCTTCAGGCTCGTCGTAGATGTAGCTGCCGACGCCTCCGGTGTTCACACCTGAGGAGAAAGAAACACGGCATCAAAGGTGTTCATCAGCTTTTCTGGTTACATTGAACTGCAGCATGAGGTGTGATCACGTTTTTGTCATAGATCAATATTTCTGGACACTATTTTTCAGTGAATTGTAAATTGTTTAAGAGTTTGTGTTGTGATAGTATAATTATAATGAATAACAATAAAAGGGTAATTGTCGTAACATGTCAGCTGACTTACTGAACCGCGACATTAAAATTGCGCAAATTGGAATTACAAAAATAAATTTGATTAATGAAAGCACGGGAATAAAAATAAAATAAAATTATATACCAGTAAAGTTTTTGCGGTAGGATGAGGTGGTTTGTTAGCTCTGTCAAAGTTAGTGTATTTTGCAAAATTGCGATGGAAAAACTTTTTTCACATCACACAAGTAAGGTGATCAACAACTGGATGTTGCCACTGGTGTAAACCACAAAGAAGAAGACGACAGGAAGTAGTTAGAGGATCATGGCACAAGTCATTTAATGATTTATTGCATGAACAAACTAATTCATGTGTGATTTTTATTTGCATTTATTATGTCATGGAAGCACCGCAATTGTGAATTTGTGTTTTTTCAACATTAGCGGAATATTAAGAAAGTTTTAATGCCTGGCAAAGAGAACAAATCAATTATCATGATTGGTGCTGAAGCTGCACAGCAAATAGGCTTTTTGGAGGCAAAATAAAGTTTCGGAGCTGTTGCAAATATTTTATCTCTTCCGAGTCGACATCACAAGTCAGGATGAGTAAACTGGGGAATTATCAAGGTGAAGACATTCAGCAGGACTTTAGTGATTCAACATGACATCATGTCCATGTCAGCTCATAAAACTTTAAACCAGGCCAGCCTCTGTCTTACATCCTGAAGGGGTTTATTCTTGTGAAATCCACTTACACAACAAACTAAAACTAAACGGTTGTCTGCTTCTTCACTGATCACACCAATTCATTTTCCATATTAATATTTAATATTGGAGTCGTTCCATTAATAATCGTAATATTTTACGATGCATAAAATATTCAGTATCCTAATCACTCCTAATTTGGGCTGCATTTCCTCCTTGGGATCTATCATGGGTATAGTACATTGATTAAAACATAAATTTCATTTCCAATCATAAGTCGATTATCTTTCTTGCTTTCTTTGTAGCCATGGTTACCCCCATTGATTGCCCTTTAAGATTGCTCATTGCAACCACCTTATTCATGCTTTATGCAGGATTTATATTAGTTTAAATCATAGTAAATGCCCCTCTAACATCAATGATGACTATGTTTTACTTCTTGATCTGTTTGTTCCTCCTGTTAACATTTCATATTGATTCCAGTCTCTCTCCAAAGCCCAGTAATCAGCTTATTCTTCCCATAAATACTTAACAAAACTACCATTATCAAATACCTGCTTCTAATAAACGTTCAAAGTTCTAAATAGAGAACTGAAAACTGTATTTTAGACTCCTGAGGGTTTGAGCTTCTGTTTTAAATCCATATTTCCACCAGGATTAGTTGGATCAACATCTTCATACCTTTGGGTCCAAACAGCACAGCGTAGCAGGGTTTGTGGCAGTAAGGCTGTCCGTCATGCTGCAACAAGAAAAAATATACAATTTCAAACATTTCTCTTTTCATCTTTTCAACTTGTGTACATTTCATAACTTTTACGATGCTTCCAGTACTACTAGCACAACCAGTACTACTACAACTGAACTACTGGTGATATTATAGTAGAATACAGATTCCTGTGTTTATTGTGCACAAAACTTTTACTAAAAGAAGAAAAAGATGCTGCTTTAAAATTTGTCTAAAACATCTGACTCTTTATTTTGACTAATCTATGCCTTAACACTATTAAAACACTTCTAATTTACTTTTTGGAAACAATAAATACATAATGCAACATTAGCTTTGTATGCAGATGTTGTAATCAGTAAAACAAATCTATCCTGCAAGTTTTTACCTGGATAGGCTACATTTTATAAATCCTCATTTTTACTTTTTAAGCTTCACAATAAAATTTTCTACATAAAAATGGGGATAATTAAAACTTACTCTGGTTGATCAATCTAATTTGGTATATTTGATTAGAAAGACATGTTTAACATCAAACAAAAACATGCTTTGCAAAGTTTTGGTCTATTTAGCTAAAATGCTCCTCAGCTGCTCTTAAAATCCTCAATAATGAAATTATGGCCTGTTAATATACTAAAACACAAAATCTGGAGGCAAACATAAGAAGATTTTGAGACAAACCAGCCTCTTTATGTCATATTTGGATTTAGATTTGAAACAGAAGAAAACCAGGACACAACAACAACTGCATATCAGAGGTGATCTCATTACAATTTTCTGCACTGGTTGCCAGTCTGCACTGGTTGCACTGGTTGCCTGTCTGCACTGGTTGCACGTCTGCACTGGTTGCACTGGTTGCCTGTCTGCACTGGTTGTCAGTCTGCACTGGTTGCACTGGTTGCCAGTCTGCACTGGTTGTCAGTCTGCACTGGTTGCCTGTCTGCACTGGTTGCACTGGTTATCAGTCTGCACTGGTTATCAGTCTGCACTGGTTGTCAGTCTGCACTGGTTGCCCGTCTGCACTGGTTGCACTGGTTGCCCGTCTGCACTGGTTGCCCGTCTGCACTGGTTGCACTGGTTGCCCGTCTGCACTGGTTGCCTGTCTGCACTGGTTATCAGTCTGCACTGGTTATCAGTCTGCACTGGTTGCCCGTCTGCACTGGTTGCACTGGTTGCCTGTCTGCACTGGTTGCACTGGTTGCCTGTCTGCACTGGTTGCACTGGTTGCCTGTCTGCACTGGTTGCACTGGTTGCCTGTCTGCACTGGTTGCACTGGTTGTCAGTCTGTACTGGTTGCACTGGTTGTCAGTCTGCACTGGTTGACCTCCTGCACTGGTTTCCAGCCTGCAGCGCCTCACCTCTGCATGGCTGCCTGGAGCCAGAGTCTTACTGCACCTCTCGCAGCGAAGGCAGGGTCGGTGCCAGTTCTTCCCCAGAGACGACACCTTCTCAGCTGCACAGAGAGACCACCATGGAGACAGTCACCACAGCAACCATCCGACTGAGTCAGAGTCAGATCTGAATCTGCATCAGATGTCAGACGTGGGAAATAACGACAGACATGCTCACCGAAGTACACCGTCTTGTTGCACCGGGGGCAGATGTTTGGTCCGCCGGAGAAAGAGGAAAAGCTCGCAGCTGCAAAATGTCAGTCAGCTGGGTCATTTCTTACATTTGCATGAAATAAATTAGAGTTTAGTTTGAGGTAAATAAAAGCTGCTACTTTATTTATTTTGTGTTTTTAAAAAAACCATCCCTGTAGAGGAACAGCTCTTTTTTCCGACACGTGACGGGTTTTCCATTTCTGCTCCTCATATTTCTCACCCTTCACTGGCCCCCGTGTGGCTCTTTTCTCCTCCTCGGGTTTGCCAAGTGTTGCCATGGAAACGGCTGCCGGGGCCTCGTTGACCGGAGCGTCGTACG